ATATGGGTGTTTTATATCTTGCTATCTCTTGCTTTACCGGCCCATCCGTTGAGGCAACGCCTGGGCCACGGCCCTGCAGTCCCTGCAGTCCCTGCAGCTGGCTGTGGCCACAAGGCCCGGTAGCGCCGGTAGCGCCCCAGCGTGGACATCGGCAGTGGCGGCCTGTGACTGGGTGGAGGCCTGGCAGCTGCTGCGAAGAATGGAGGAACTGCAGCTGGAAGTGTTCCTTGGAAAATCTTGGAGACATTGACCAAATCTTGGAAAATTTAAGGCTGATTTCGGATGTTTTGATGGATGATTCCATGGATGATTTGGATTCTTTAGGGATTTTAATGGATGATTGATCGATGATGCTTGTCTTGGATGGCTGGTGAATGATTTTGATGGATGTTCTTTTTTCTCCACGGATGATTGGGATGAAACCTGACAAGTGTTGTTGCGTTTTAATTTCGATACTTTCCTGAAGCTGAATCATCTGAATCCTTGTGGCATCAGTGTTGTGCTAATGCGACTAGGTCCCAAGTCACTGCCACAGCGGCGGCTGGATCGAGCTGGGAAGATGCCCTGGCGGCAGTGGCGCTGCGTGCGAGTGGTGCCGCGCTCGCGGCCTTGATGAAAGGAGCGAAAGCTGGTTGCGCTGGTTGCTGGAGCCGTGCCCTGCAGCTGGCGCTGGCACAGCGTGACCTGGTGATATCTGGTGGATCTGAAATGATCTGAATCGACAAATTCTACGATCTAGGGACGTCTATGAGATGTCTGTGGGGTCTATGCTTCAGTTTCATCGTGTTGCAATGCACACTCTGACTCTTTTGCTTCAACTTGAGGGGTCACCTGCTTTTATCCACTGCAGTAGTGAGCAGTGCGTTGGGCTTCAAGGTGAGTGTCCCTCTATGGATCCCAAGAACCGCGACATCGGATTCAACTCCGCAGTTGCAGCTTGTGGTCTTGCAGGTGGGGTGGGCTAGGATGACCCAGTATGACCCAGTCAGGGTTTGACATGTTTGACTTGAATCACATCTATTATCATCTATTGAAATATCATTCAAATATATTCAAATATCAAATATCTTTATATAATGGATGCCGCATGATGCCGCCACTTGGTGACTTACTAAACTACTAAACAAACTAGATGTTGCTTAGCACGATATCTCGAGATACTGACGCATACTGACGCCTTCGGACAGTGTCAGTGTTCGGATGTGGAGTGTCCAGGCGAATGGCAGTTGGCTCAGCATGTCTTCCGGCTGCACGGCCATGACGCTGTGGGGCTCAGTGCCGCCTTGGGCCCTTGGAAGGCGCCACAGTCAGGTGATTCAGGTATAACATAACTCAGGTATAACTCAAAGTATGTCCAACTCGAATCCATGAAATCTCGCCATACGGCATTATACTTTCCAGTCAAATTCATGTCAAAACAGGCAAACCAGTTCTCCGTGAATCCAGGCAGCATTGGCGCTGCTACGCGCATCTGCAAGCGTTGACGATGTGTGTCCTTGAATTGCACTGTTGAACCCAGATGCCATGAACTTGAGATGATCCTGATATGTTTTGAAAGGTCCTTGGACGCTCAACACGGCTTCACAATCATGTCTTGAAATACATGCTGCATTCATCGATTCATGAAGCCCATCTCTACCTACATATTCTTGTTATATTCTTGTTTAGCATGACGTTACGACGTTAATAGCATCAAACTCAAGAATATGCAGCCAACATGCAAACATGCAAACATCATCAATGAAGTCATGGGAAACCATGCAGTGACGTTGCAGTTTTCGCTGCAGGTTTCAGCGTCGCCATTGCTTCCTGCGCACGCGCAGAAGAAAAGTTTGCATTTGACGTGATGGTGTTAGATTCTTGTGTTGAAGGTTCTTCTTGGTTTCATTAAGGTTCAAATCAAAACTGTTCTAAAGTTATAACATGTTATAACTGTTCCGATTTTCGAAGTCTAAGTTCCCCTGGATTTTTCAGCTGCCGCATCGCATCGAGCCGCGCAGCTCCTCCGCAATCTGAATGGGAACAACGCTCGCGGGCGGCCCTGCAGCTCTGTGACAAGCTGGGGGTCCCGGGAGCTGGGTGCTGGTGCCGCTGGTGCCGGTGCCGTTGCCGATCGCCACAGTTCGGCCAAGACAAAAATCGATTGGATTAGACATGATTAGACTAGGTGTGATTCGGTCAATTACTAGAGTAGATTAGAATAGATTAATAGATAGTTGAAATATGTTGAAATGTCACAATTCAGCCTGGGATGATCTATGATCATTTTAATTAGAAGCTATCCAAGTATTACACTCACATCATGCCTCGACCCAGGTCGTGGACAGCCTTCTCCAATGGCACCACAGGGGATTTGCGCCAGGCGTTCACAGTTCCCAGAGATTTCTCATTTTTTGGGTGTGACAGATCGCCTGAAGTCGTTCAATGGTGGTTTAAGTAGTGCTTAATTCCACCAAAACAAGATTCTAAACAGGGATGTTTATAGTTTATAATAGTTTATCTTTATATAGGTTTACCTACAGATATCCACAGAAAATATTGGGGAAACACCAGGAGCCTGAGCTGCTTTGATATTGACGCACTGCCGCACTGCCGCACTGCCAAGTGGCAGGCAGCGCAATTCGCAGTAGATGCCTGGGGTGGAGTTCTCATGAGAGGTCACGACTGCTGTGTGCTGTCGGCTCCTCGGTGTGACTCACTGCACGGGATGCACGGATGCACGGATGCACGTCACAGGTTGGCGGCACCTTACTGCTACGCACAGACCATCGACATCTTCGACTTTTCCATTCCGTTGCTGGTCTTGCTCTTTGTGGCTGGCATGTTTGGGTGGTAACATGTGGTAACTTTAGGAAGCATGGTGCAGCATGGTTGAACTTTCACCTGGTTTCTGGCAAGTTGGCAAGTCGCCGTATCATCTTGATGCCAGGTCATGTTATTTATCTGCGTTTCTTCCAAGCGCGCAACTGAGAATGAGCGGTCTACTGCAACACCTTCTGAGACAATAAAAAGGTAACCCACCTCAAACCTGACGAAACAAGTCCCAGTGTATCCCACACCAGAGATTGTACCATATCCATATATATCCATTCAACTTTCATCAGGTGTGTGTCATGTGAGTCATGTCATATCAGATTTTACCGCGATGTCTTCCTGCAAAAAAAAATGCGCAGGTCATGTGCCCTTTGGCTGCGACAGATGGGCAAGAAGGCTCCTGAAGAGCCAGGGAGCCCAAGACCATTCTTTGGTGATGCTACATCGTGCACATAGCTCGCATATATACTTATACAGATACAGAAGCATTAGATTATATATGTACGTTATGTAATGTTATGTATGTATGTATAACTACGTATATATATATATGTATAACATTGTAGAACTGCATATATTATACACATGTGTGTGTGTGACTATATATGCCTTTTTATTGTGTGATTATCCAGTGTGTCAGATTGTCTATTGGATATCGTAGGATCTACTACTGATTATGTTGCATATTTCGTTGCATTCCATCACATTACACTACATTATGTTACATTGGATTACATTCCATTATATTAGAGGCATACTATATGTATACTGTATCACTCCAGTTTGGCCAAGCTTGGGTTTTGGACATCTTTTGTGGTAACTCGAGAGATGTCCAGATATGTCCAGCTACTACCACTATTTTGGATATTTTGGTAGTCCTCAGAGTCCTCAGGCTTCAACATCACCAATTACTCAAAACATCCATCAGCTATTCTCCTCGAGATTTTTCAGCATGTATTGAAGTGGCGGCCGACACACACTGCTGAAATTTTAAGTGGAGAAGAGAAGACTAGAAGACTCAAATTTGTGACCTTGTGCCCTGTTCAGAAGCTCCTCCTGCTATTTTCTCTTCAACCTTACTCCAATGCATTGGACTTGCTATCAAGGCCATACCATTGCACAGAATCATTGACAGGAATGTCCAAATCTCAGACGCCTTGCTGCAACCTGACTGAACTGCATTTCGAACATTTCGAGTAAGAGAAAATGCAAGACCAAAGAGTGAAATGAGCCTCATCAGCTATTTCTATCGGCAGTTTATTTGGCTCAGTCCTTGAGCTGGCTGGATTACAAAGTCATGGGGCCGCTGGCAAACATGCATTCAGCAAGCCAACAGAATCAAGAGCAAAGTAATGCACTAAATAGGTCCATCGCCTGGTCACTAGCTGGTCACGTCACCAGTAAATATATCATATTTCAATAGTGAGGAGAAAAAAGACAACCAGAAGCAACTCATTTCCATGATCTCTTTTAAAACAGTTTTGTAGGGCCGCTGGGGCCAAGCCAGCTTTGAGCCGGATGGAAGACGGCTCGCCGGTGGCTGTCTTGGTGCGGACGGAGGGTGCTCCCCAGACAGTGCCGCCGCTGATTGCTTTCAGTCAGGTGAACTCTTCCGTCTCAGTTGGAAGAGCTGAGAACAATCAGATCCCCCTGAATGACAAGAAAATCTCAAAGAATCATGCCTTGCTTCAGTTGCGGGCATGCAAGCGCAAGGGTGCGCAAGATGGAGAGGTCATGCGACGTGTTTTCATCAAGGATTCATCAACCTTTGGCACCTTTGTGAATGGAAAGGCTCTAAAGAAAGGTGAGTGGAGCATTCTTCAGGAAGGTGATGCCATAGGCCTCCGAAACCCACATGGGAACCCCTCCAATGGTGAGTACCGCGTGGCCTACCAGGACGCCCAGGTGCTTGTGAATGGTGCCCTGGCGCGTGGCGACAAGCCGGTGCAGGCGGTGCCCGCCTCAGAACCCAGTGGAGGTGCCAAGACCAAGAAGCCCTCGCTGCCGGCGAAGCCGGCGCTGGCACCGGTGAAGACCGAGCTGCCCGACGAGGCGCCCAGTGGTGGTCACAGTGGTCCAGGTCACCGCGATGTCGGCCGGGCGGATCCCAGGACGGCGCCGCAGGCGGCTGTGAAGGCGGAACCGGAAGCCGCTAGCCCGGTAAGCGAAGTGTCGGGAGGAGCCAGAAAAACTAAGGCAGAACCACAGGAGGAGGCCATGAGTCCATTGTCAGAAGTCAGTGAGGTTTCAGCTCCAGATGAAGACGAGAAGACAGCAACACCAGTAACAGCAGGTACAGTACCCGGAGTCATTCCACCTTTGCCAGGAATGGGAGCTCCTCCTTTGATGATGGTGCCTGGAGTGGGTTTGGTGCCCGCCCCTTTTGGATTGCCAGGTCTACCACCACCTGGTTTCCCCTTGCTGCCTCCCGGCTTCCAACCCTCTGCGCCACCATCAGGGCCTGTGCCCAATGCAGCTTTACCGGGCTCCAAGGAAGCAGGTGCCAAGGCAGCAAGCACTGCAGTGGTTGCGAAGCCAGTTGTGATGACCATTGGTGCTGAGTTTGTGGGGATGCTCATCGGCCGTGGTGGAGAGGTGGTGAAGCAGCTCTCCACTGAATCTGGGGCACGCATTGAAATCTCCAAGACAGAGAATGAAGGAGGCAAGGCTGGGGAGCGTACGGTTCTCATCAGCGGGCTGCAGGACCGGAATGGACTGGATGGGTTTGGCAGAATTCGACATTCAAGAGTTTCTTCTAGAAAAGGTAAAGTAGTGTAAAGTATGGTAAACTAATTAAGGCTAGGGATTCAAGAATCCGTACTACATACGTGCACAATCTTGCAAGCGAATCTGAATAATATGAATGATGATGTCATGATGAAGCTGTATCATGTTGTATCCATATCTCAAGATACCTGCATCCCCTTTGGCCAGTAATATACAATAATTATTTGAACATTTTTCAGGAAACAAAACTTACCAAAATTAAAGCTTGGTGCAGTAGATGCTGATTCGTTTTTGTATGTTTTTGGCTCGTTGTGGCTCCACACGACTTTTCTGCATTACCTCCCTCTATAGAGCTGGCGCATGTGGAGCGGTAGGGTCAAAACTGCAGATCGAGCGGAAGTATTTCTTCGGAACTTTTATTTTAAAGGCTTGCATTTTTCCAAACGAGGGCGCACTTTAAAAAGATCAGTTGGCACTTCGCAGCTCAAAGCACAGATCCGCACAGTTCTCGCTGGACGACCCTAACTGCCATGAGTTGCTATGTATCCTTCAGTGTCGATACGTATAGATATGATAGATATGATATAATTATACATTATATATATAGTTAAATATAAATGCTTTTGGGACCACAGAAAAAACAACGGTTTTAGAAAAACACGATCTGATTTTCGTCAGTTTAGGAAACAATCCATTTCGAAGGGTTCTTGCGCACAAGAGGCTCCAGCAGAATTTGTAGGTATCAATTGGGGGCCTAGGTATTTATACCCGTCTGATCCACTTTGTAGGTCTACAATGATCTATAGATTTGCAATGAGGACTGCATGCCCTGAGCCGTGAGGACTGCGTGGACAAGGCCAAGAAGTTGATCGAAGATGCCATTGAGAAGGCGAAAGAAAAGACGGGTCAGGTGAATCCCAACGCCTGCACCTTAAAGGTGCCACATGAGCTGATTGGGATGCTGATTGGCAGAGGTGGAGAAACCATCAAAGATCTGAAGAAAGAGAGTGGAGCACGGATTGACATCAGCAAAGAACCAGATGAAGAAGGATCTTCGGATCGTTTGGTCAACATCACTGGGCCACCTGAGTGTGTGGAGTATGCCAAGAAGATGGTTGAGGAGATGCTTGGAAAGTCCCGGGAAGGTTTGAGGGTTAAAATGGAAGAAGATGACAATGGAGGTTCAATTACCCGTGCTGGTGGGCGAATCATCAAGGTTCCACTTGAAAGTATTGGTGTCTTGATCGGCAAAGGTGGGGAGACAATCTCCAGGATCCAGAAAGACTCCAATGCCCGGATCGAAATCAATCGGGATGACAAGGACAGCCGGGAGCGCAATGTCACCATCACCGGGACTGGTGATGCCATCGAGAAGGCCATTCGCGCCATTGATGAAGTCCTCGATGCTGCAGAACGTGATGGGAGAGGTGCCAGACGAAGACGAGATGCCGATGAAGGTGCTTTGGTGCCTGTGGATCGCAAACCTTCTCCGGTGAAAGATGGCTGGGTGGCAGAAAAAGTTTACATTGATGAAGTGGAGATGCCTTATCGACCCAACTATGTGCCGGAGCATGAGGATGGCTTGCCCACCGACTTGGAAATCTTTGTGAAGGGTCTGCCCAAAAGCTGTGCTGAGCGAGAGCTCTGGGAACATCTCTACAGGCTTGGGGCCACTGATGTGAAAGAGATCCTCTTGTTGCGCAGGCAGAAGCAATCGAAAGGAATGGCATACGTGGTCTTCAATCGGCATGAGCATGCTGTCCTTGCCAAGAACAAGTTGCAGGGTATGCCAGCATCATCCATTCCCTGTGCAGAAGCCTCACAAGAGCAGCAAGTGCTCCAAGTTCGCTTCTCAGAGTCTGAACGTTGCATCAATGGTCGCAGCAACGTCTACGGTGCGGATATGGCCATCCTGTTGATGGGACCTCGTGGCAGAGCCATGGTAGAAGTGAAGGAAGCCTCAGGACTGCGAAAGGTGACCCTCACAGGGCGCAACATGAAGTCCTTTGGTCAGGTGGATGAGGATCCACGGGTGCACCTGGTGGTTTACTACGAGCCAGACGAAGTGGACAATGTTTCCAAAGCCTTGGAGCATTGGGGAAGGCAACTGGGGGAAATCCATCGCGAAATCGTCGAGCGCAGCAAAGGCAAGGGCAAGGGCAAAGGTTGGCCCTGGATGCCACCGCCCTATGGACACCCTGGGCACCCACCCTGGCCACCGATGCCTGGTCGCCCTCCTGGGCCGGCCTCACCCTATGGGCCCATGCCGCCACACATGCATCCCATGATGCACCCGCCACCTGAACCCGTGGTGGAGGCCCCGGTGCTTCTGACCCGTCGCACCATGGAGGATGGAGAACTGAGCAGCGACAAAGTCATTGAAGCCACCAGCTTGCGTGGGAGAGAACTCCGATGGCAGCCTTGGCCAGAGGTCACTGGTTTCAATAGCGACTGGAAGGTCATTCCTTTGAGATGGGGACTCCGTGGCGAGCTGTTCGCTCTACTTCGGCATCGCCAGTCCGGAGAAACCAAGGTCTGTGCAGCTGAGGTCCAGCATAGTTTGGAGAAGTGGCCAGTGTTGCACACGAATTCCAGCTCTTCCAAGGGTGCCAAGTACAAGTCCTTCACCTTCAACGAACACCTCTTCGTGATTTCCATTGACCGGGATTCTGGTGCCTTGAAGGTCTTCCATGTCCCCGACCCAGGCTCCGCTTGGAACGTGGCCTACGAAGCCACCCTGCCAGAGGAGCCGTCAGAGGAGTTCCCCATGAGCCGCTTTGCGAAGCTGTGCGTCTTCTACGGCATGGATCGGTGCCTCAGATTGGTCAGCAGTTGTACCGACTTTGCTGGGAACTCTTTGTGTTTCTTTTTTATTGGTTGTGCTGCATCAGTGTTCATCCGGTATTTGCTGTGAGCGGTTAGGGGGAACAAGATGAAGCAAGATAGCTTTTGGTTTTTCCTGCTTCACCTTCCTTGACAATCCTTAACAGTAACATGACGTTCTAGTTGCCAACCCCTTTGTATGCACCAGTCTGTGAGATGATAACTGGAGTTTCCAAAGGCTGAGGATGTTGCCAAAGAACTTTCATCTAATTTGGGATTGTGACACAGTTGCCACTACAAATGGGTAGCTGGTGTCAAACCTCCAATTGGCAATAGGCAAGTACATCGGCAAACGTGGTAGGAGCATGTAGGAGCTGGGGATGATTTCCAACGTCCAACATTTTTTTGGAACTCCAAGTCCATCTTGAGGATCCCATGTGTAGTGGCCGTGGAGCCACGTGCTGAGATGGGCTACACCCGGGTCTTCCGCATCAGTGACCCCGGCAAGGCCTGGACGCCTTGTGGTGAAGCCCCAGCGCTGCCACAGAAGGTGCGGCTGTTGATGGTCTACACCAAGGCCAGGGCACCCGGCCCAGCCTTTGAGGCCTGCCTTTTCGCCATTGCCCTGGGGGAGCTGAAGGTCTACCAGGTTCCGGCAGATCTCGAACAGCCTTGGATTTTGATCTCAACTGTGCCTTTTGCCGATGATACACGGCTCAGCTGCATCTACGTGCCGGGAAAACCTGAGCCTTTGCTGATGGCTGGCAGCCCCACGGAAAAGATGCAGAAACTCTGCCACCTGAACCTGATGGAGTGGCGATTGGCCAAGCAGGATGACAGATTGCCACCGCCCAAGTCACCTGTGGTGGAGGAGAAATTCAGCAGGCCAATGGCATCCCTTTGGCCTGACAAAGACGGAGATCCAATCGTTGCGCTGCCTGTGGATTGCACTGCTGACCTGGCGGTCAGTCGACATCATTGGGTCACCACACCCATCCTCCCACCACAAGGTGAGTTCCATCCACCGGGGCCCAGGCCACCCTTCGATTTCAGACCTCCCACCAGGCCACCCTTCGAATATGCCCCAGGACCTCCACCTTCAAGGCCACCCTTTGAGGCGATCAGCCCAGGTCCTCCACCATTTGATCCAGGTCCTCCACCAGGGAACCTCGACGTCAATGGCAAGACCGAGGAACCCGAACGCCACCGCCGGCGCCGGCATCGCCACCGAAGGGATCGGGACGAGGGCGACGGCGAGGGCCGGAAACGCCGCAGAGCCGAAAAAGCGGAGCGGGATCGGCGCGCTGAGTCACCGCAGACGTAGGATATTTGGATCTTTTGGCCCTGCATTTCGTGCCTAAAACAGTGGCGGCTGATTGCAGAATTTGCTGAGGTCGGGGAGTAGTTTGAGGTTGTTTGAGCCGTTTGGATGTCACTGCTGTGCTTCACACATCACAAGCACCATGGTCAGCGTTAAATGTTTGCTTGGATGCAGTGGGATGCAAACATGAACTGCGCTTCATGGGCAGAGGATCCAACACTTAAAAATGCAGCAGGACGCGCGACATTTTTCTGCACGCTATAGAATGGTGATAGCTTTCTGCAAGGCTGTGAAGGTCAGAATTCTGGGTGCTGAACACTGCACTTCGCAATGAGGCCACAGAATGCCCTGGATTTGGAGCCCGAAGCTTACATCACTGTTCTGTCATCGGTTGCTACTGTGCAACCCAGGAAACTTTGGCGAATGTCGTGTCATCATCAAGACCACCAGGGTCAATAGCTAAAATTAAAAGTGCCGGACAAAATCCTAGGGCCAGTCAGTTGGTAAGATTTGTTGGGACCTTTTGGTCATAGAGAGATTTCTTATCTCATTCCAAAAAAACATGTGAATTCTGGGTTACGAACGTTTACTCATTCTCCTTATATAATTGTGTTTTCAACATTTTCAACATGTCTATTCTCAGCTATCTTCACACAACTTGCGAGGCAGAAGCTCATGGCCATCTGGGGCACTTCCTGCCTGGGTGGGAAGGGCGACTATCACAAAGCCCTGCCCAAATCACAGGAATGGGGACGAGCAGCTGCCAGCTTTTATGCCACCATGAAGCTGGATTTCGGCTTTCAGGCTGCGCCGTTTCCGGGTACAAAGATTACAAAGCTGGCTTTGTTGGACTTTAGCAGTAAATTGAGCAGTAAATTGAGCAGTTATGGCCAAGGTTGAGCTTTTTTTGGAAGATCAATGTGGGTAGTTTGCAAAACTATATATGCAAAGATCGCATTTAGATCACGCACAGGTACTTCTTTAATATTTTGAATGTATTCAGTGCCCGCCATGGCCATGACATGCCATGACCGTATATGGCCGTCATGGCCCTATAGTCATTGTCAGGCCGACAGCGTGCGCAACCAGTTCGAGCACTTGATTTCGCTTTGGCGGTCACATGCGGCCATGGTCACTGACCTGGCTATCCAAGATGCCTATGAGAATCGCTGGAGGCGGGATGCTGATGACGGATGGGTGAAGGTGGATGAGTGAATATTGAAATATAATTGTGATATAACATGATGTAGCTTTGCTAGGGCTGCTAGGGAATGCCACTGGGCAGTGCGCTTCAAGATCTGGAGACTCTTAAGATCCGCTGAGACGTTAGCACTCCAACAGCTCTTGGCAAGTTTTTTTTTTGGTAAATCCAACAGCTGTTGGAATCCCACAGCACGAAATCTAGTTGCTGATCTCTCAACGTTTTCCTCGACAGGTGGAGCTCTGGCTCTTGGAGTGATCAAACGGAGCCAGTGCGGATGGATGTGAACGGCAACAAGGCGCTCACCTGGGCCCGGCACAAGTTTGTTGCTATAGGATGCTATAGGTTGCTGAAGGTCAAATCAAGAGATGGCTAGCCATATATCAAGATACAATAAGACACATCAAAACAAATATATATATATACACATATATATATGTATATTATATATTAAAAAATTCAAACTATTCACAAGATTTGAGACTGGATCAGTTCACAAAGTTGAGCAGTGGAGCGAACTGACTGCCAAAGTCATCAGCACAGTGCCACCAACGTGCCGTATCGGGAAACCTTTGGCTCAGGGAGACAAGGCATCGCATAGGTCAACCGTCAAGTGGGCTCTGGCCCGTGGCCCGTGGGGCATGGCAGTTGCGGCCGAAAAAATAAATGCTTGGTTTGACTTCGCAGCGAGGGAGTGTTTTGAAGAACGCCACTGGGAAGTGGCTGCAAGGCTGCCAGAGGCAACCTTGTCTCATCGCTCAGGAGCATTGGGAGCATTGCTATGCGGCCATTTGATCAGGTTTGATATGACAAATATCTTCGTCGAGCGTGCACCCGAAAATCCGTGCAACTTGCTAGTGCGGCCCGAAGTCAGAGGGCAGTACGATCAGGGCAACTCGTTGAAATTTTGGCACTGCTGTGTTTCAGCAACATGGGAATTGATAATAACTTTTGTAGCCCTTTGCTTCAGTGATTCATTGTCATTTGATTCACCACAAGCCACCTACTTGTCCATGGCAAATGAATACCAACAATATCAAACAATATCCAACCATTCCAATGTCATTGTGACATATTATGTACCTATGTATCTATACTATTCTATACTTGCTTACTACATGCATGCATCTGATATATCTCTATCACTGTAGCAGTCTTTCCTTTTGGCCCTTCGCATCCTTTTTGTGCCCTTCGACACCAGGTGCAGAGCTGCAATTGTGGTGGCGAAGGGCCCTGGCACCGGGCGATTCGATGGTGGAGCGCACGAGCAAACTGTGGGTTCTACGCATGGCGTCGCTTCTTTTCGCCAACTCTTCTGGCCCCTTCAGGAGACTGGGACCCGACTGGGATCCAATGGGCATTATGAACAGTATATGAACAGTATGAATTTCATGTGAATGTTTTGGAATTATCGACTTCCATTCGCAGTGCTCCTCTCAGTGCCTGTGTGGTCGCCCAGGAATAGCTTTTTCTACGACACCGTGCCCATTTCAGCCCGCCATCAGCTTCGAAGAGACTTTCCATTGACAGGGGACTGCGCGTACGCCTGCTTTCAGGACAATTTCGAGATAGGGCATGGCAGGGCATGATATCCCCAACATTCCCCAACTAGCATAGTAGATCTCACTGGATTTCATGGATTTTGAAGATTTTTGAATGATGTTTTTGGTAGGGATGGTGATGAGCTGGCAGGACTACGATGGAGTCGGTCAAGAAGGCATTCTGGTCTGTCGCAACATGGGTCATCGCAATCGATTTCGGGTGTCGATGATCTTCAGTACTCCTGAGGAGCCTCGTGTATCAAACATTTTTTGATGATCTTCCCCCCTCACTCTTTTATATATAATTTTAGGATATTTTAGGATATCTAAAGATGCGTTATTATACCAATAGGATCCAGTACGTATAGGTAGTGTAGGCCATATCGGCACCATGTCCTGTGCTAATTATTTACATCAATTTCCCGGTTGCCCATGTTTGCCCTCCAATGAATCCAGACCTTTCTCCTGCAGGACAAGTGGCCGCATTGGGCCTCGCTACTTTTCAGCTTTCTGACGGATATGATCCGCAAGGCCATTGTGCGATTTCTAAATCGGCCAGGCATCCAGCAGATGCGTCAAGTGGATGAGGAGTTCTATCTGGCGCCTGGGAGGAGTCAGGGATTTTTGAGAAACGTTTGAGGTGTACAATGATGAATTGTGTACACTTCATACTTGGTTGAAAACGTCGTAATATGTCGTGTCGTAATTGCTAAAATTTACGACGTATGGTGTATGATATGTGCAGGTGAGAACAGATACGACACAGTCTTCAGAACAAACCAGAAGGAATAGCAGCTGAACCTAACATCGCTACCAGAGTCATCCTAAGGCTAGGGATGGCTAGGGCATATCTTTTCTAAATCAAAAGTCCGTCGCCCAGGTGCTTTGCATGCGGAGCTTCAATCGTGGACCACCGTTGGTTCCAGAAACCCGAGACACAGACACTGAGGCGCTCCCTCATTTGTTTTTTCGATAAGTCAACTGAAGTACTCATTACTGGTATTATATGTATTATTAATACGTTCGGCACCTAGCTGTTCCCAGAAAGGGGGGGACACCCCAACATAGTTTTGTGACCCTTGGGAAAGAGATGGGAAACCAATACATGCGTGGGACGTCCGCAACTTTGACGAGGCCGATGATCCGTTTATCACCATCTCTTCTGGGAATCACCTAGGCCTGACCAAATGGAGCCGTCTCTCCAGAGGGAAGTTCCGAATGGTGGAGTACATGCGACGTTTCTTGGACGCCCTTGGGCATGATGATGTCCACACCTACGGCTCTCTGGAGAGCAGAACTCTTGTGCCATATCAATGTGTAGTACTTCGATCCCAGTGGACGCAAATTCGCGATTCCTTTCGCCAAGCCTTCCACTTTCAGAAAGCCGCTTATCGCCGCGCCAATGGAGGTACCAATGCTCCCAGCATTGTGGAAGACGTGCGTCCCCACTTGCTGGGGTCCGAAGCGCATGCTACTTCCAGTGGGGGTTCGGATTCTGCGGAGTCCGATCAGTTGCCGACCGAAGTTTGCAAGTTGGTGGTGCGAAACACCTTCCTGGAATTGGATGAGGTGAATCCATGCCCCAAGAATGCCATGAGGCGAAGCAAAAGTGAATCTGGTGACCTGTCAACCTTTTCTGTATAGCAGGGCCATGCACTCTGTACAGTTTGATCGATGGAATCAACTTGGTGCAGTGGCTACTTAGCACTGAATTGGTAATCTGAGATCCTGCAGCGCCACTTCCTAGTGCCCATGTTCACTTAGGCAGCTCCTCTGCAGGTTTGTGCAGGCAGTGATCTGGCATCGAGAGCACAAAGATGTGCGTGGAGCATAATGCTACCATGTGGATCAACGGTGAAACCACCTGCACGTTTGTACAGCAATATGCACAAATTGACAGCCAGATGCTGCATGTAGTTGGAGCCCGACCCATAGACGGCCGTGGTGTTTTAAGCATTTTTTGGCATTTTTTCGTTTTTTGATGGTCTTTCATGTCAACTAGCACACAGACGTCATGCTACGTTATGGTTATCTTGGGGTGGGGTTGGGTGGGGTGGGGTGGGGCAATGACGTTCATGTCAACTTGCACACACACGTCATGCTACATTATTGTTATGTTCTCTTGCACTTGCACACACACACACACACGTCATGCTACGTTATGGTGATCTTCTCTTGCACTTGCTCACACACGTCATTCTACGTTATGGTGATCTTGTCTTGCACTTGCTCACACACGTCATGCTACGCTATGGTGGTCTTCTCTTGCACTTGCACACACACGTCATGCCACGTTATGGTTGTCTTGGGGTGGGGTTGGGTAGGGTGGGGTGGGGCAATGACGTTCATGTCAACTTGCACACACACGTCATGCTACGTTATTGTTATGTTCTCCTGCACTTGCACACACACACACGTCATGCTACGTTATGGTGATCTTCTCTTGCACTTGCTCACACACGTCATGCTACGTTATGGTGATCTTGTCTTGCACTTGCTCACACACGTCATGCTACGCGTCTTGCACTTGCACACACACGTCTTTTTTTCCTGTCCACTGTGGCAGGGACGCAAATCGCTGACAGATGGTGGAAAGGCCTTTCCAAGACGGTTGTATGATGGAGTCAACACAAAAGAACACCCTGAATTGGAAAAGTTTCTGTTGGCGAAAATCTTTGGGACCATTGACACCTCACCGGTTTCTCGAAGAACTTTGCAAGGCCGTCAAAGCAATGAAGCGCTTCTGAGAAGAAGGAAAAAAGGGCTGCATCCCAAAAAAACACGAACTTATGTCAAAAAACGAAGTAGTTTTAGAGATTTTCAAAACCCTATTTTTCACGTCAACATGAGAAAAAATGACGTTTCGCTGTAGCGAAAACGACATTTTTGTTGCTGAAAAACTCCTAAAACCATACGACCGTCTATGGGTCGGGAACCATGTAGTTTCTTTATATGAACTTTCCCGGCCAGTCTGGTTGCGAAACGCACATTGAACTTTCGTAACTTTTGTGCCATGTGTGTGGAATTCCAAGACGGCCCAGGGATGAGTTGCCCCCCTTGGCCCCTTCTTCTTCTGTGATGAGGGCCTTGGACGCCTTGGACTCGCCACAGAGCGGAGTCCAACAAACGTGCGCGACGCGGCCGTGGGCTGCTAAAGTTGAGCAGTGGAGCGAACTGACTGCCAAAGTCATCAGCACAGTGCCACCAACGTGCCGTATCGGGAAACCTTTGGCTCAGGGAGACAAGGCATCGCATAGGTCAACCGTCAAGTGGGCTCTGGCCCGTGGCCCGTGGGGCATGGCAGTTGCGGCCGAAAAAATAAATGCTTGGTTTGACTTCGCAGCGAGGGAGTGTTTTGAAGAACGCCACTGGGAAGTGGCTGCAAGGCTGCCAGAGGCAACCTTGTCCCATCGCTCAGGAGCATTAGGAGCATTGCTATGCGGCCATTTGATCAGGTTTGATATGACAGATATCTTCGTCGAGGGTGCACCCGAAAATCCGTGCAACTTGCTAGTGCGGCCCGAAGTCAGAGGGCAGTACGATCAGGGCAACTCGTTGACATTTTGGCACTGCTGTGTTTCAGCAACATGGGAATTGATAATAACTTTTGTAGCCCTTTGCTTCAGTGATTCATTGTCATTTGATTCACCACAAGCCACCTACTTGTCCATGGCAAATGAATACCAACAATATCAAACAATATCCAACCATTCCAATGTCATTGTGACATATTATGTACCTATGTATCTATACTATTCTATACTTGCTTACTACATGCATGCATCTGATATCTCTATCACTGTAGCAGTCTTTCCTTTTGGCCCTTCGCATCCTTTTTGTGCCCTTCGTTCGACACCAGGTGCAGAGCTGCAATTGTGGTGGCGAAGGACCCTGGCACCGGGCGATTCGATGGTGGAGCGCACGAGCAAACTGTGGGTTCTACGCATGGCGTCGCTTCTTTTCGGCAACTCTTCTGGCCCCTTCAGGAGACTGGGACCCGACTGGGATCCAATGGGCATTATGAACAGTATATGAACAGTATGAATTTCATGTGAATGTTTTGGATTTATCGACTTCCATTCGCAGTGCTCCTCTCAGTGCCTGTGTGGTCGCCCAGGAATAGCTTTTTCTACGACACCGTGCCCATTTCAGCCCGCCATCAGCTTCGAAGAGACTTTCCATTGACAGGGGACTGCGCGTACGCCTGCTTTCAGGACAATTTCGAGATAGGGCATGGCAGGGCATGATATCCCCAACATTCCCCAACTAGCATAGTAGATCTCACTGGATTTCATGGATTTTGAAGATTTTTGAATGATGTTTTTGGTAGGGATGGTGATGAGCTGGCAGGACTACGATGGAGTCGGTCAAGAAGGCATTCTGGTCTGTCGCAACATGGGTCATCGCAATCGATTTCGGGTGTCGATGATCTTCAGTACTCCTGAGGAGCCTCGTGTATCAAACATTTTTTGATGATCTTCCCCCCTCACTCTTTTATATATAATTTTAGGATATTTTAGGATATCTAAAGATGCGTTATTATACCAATAGGATCCAGTACGTATAGGTAGTGTAGGCCATATCGGCACCATGTCCTGTGCTAATTATTTACATCAATTTCCCGGTTGCCCATGTTTGCCCTCCAATGAATCCAGACCTTTCTCCTGCAGGACAAGTGGCCGCATTGGGCCTCGCTACTTTTCAGCTTTCTGACGGATATGATCCGCAAGGCCATTGTGCGATTTCTAAATCGGCCAGGCATCCAGCAGATGCGTCAAGTGGATGAGGAGTTCTATCTGGTGCCTGGGAGGAGTCAGGGATTTTTGAGAAACGTTTGAGGTGTACAATGATGAATTGTGTACACTTCATACTAAAGCAAAAGCTAAAGCGGAGGTCCGCTTGTTGTGTCGCCCAGGCTTCCAATTTGGAGGCGGACTGCACCAACGGAAAAGAGGAATAGCCAACAAAACCGTCACAGGGAAAAACCTTCTTGGAAGGGAAAAAACTCTGCGCCGAAACAAGGGAGGACGGACGTATGCCGACGAATCCATGCCCCCCAGCAAAAAAGGATAGGCCGCGTCAGCCGTGGAGGACGAAAGCCATCCGAAACATGCAAAATAAAGGATGGCTAATCTCAAAAAAACAAAGCCTTAGCGCCTTAAGCTTCGAGTAGAGAAAAGCCAAGAAAAACAGGTGCATACTTGGTTGAAAACGTCGTAATATGTCGTGTCGTAATTGCTAAAATTTACGACGTATGGTGTATGATATGTGCAGGTGAGAACAGATACGACACAGTCTTCAGAACAAACCAGAAGGAATAGCAGCTGAACCTAACATCGCTACCAGAGTCATCCTAAGGCTAGGGATGGCTAGGGCATATCTTTTCTAAATCAAAAGTCCGTCGCCCAGGTGCTTTGCATGCGGAGCTTCAATCGTGGACCACCGTTGGTTCCAGAAACCCGAGACACAGACACTGAGGCGCTCCCTCATTTGTTTTTTCGATAAGTCAACTGAAGTACTCATTACTGGTATTATATGTATTATTAATACGTTCGGCACCTAGCTGTTCCCAGAAAGGGGGGGACACCCCAACATAGTTTTGTGACCCTTGGGAAAGAGATGGGAAACCAATACATGCGTGGGACGTCCGAGGCCGATGATCCGTTTATCACCATCTCTTCTGGGAATCACCTAGGCCTGACCAAATGGAGCCGTCTCTCCAGAGGGAAGTTCCGAATGGTGGAGTACATGCGACGTTTCTTGGACGCCCTGGGGCATGATGATGTCCACACCTACGGCTCTCTGGAGAGCAGAACTCTTGTGCCATATCAATGTGTAGTACTTCGATCCCAGTGGACGCAAATTCGCGATTCCTTTCGCCAAGCCTTCCACTTTCAGAAAGCCGCTTATCGCCGCGCCAATGGAGGTACCACAGCTCCCAGCATTGTGGAAGACGTGCATCCCCACTTGCTGGGGTCCGAAGCGCATGCTACTTCCAGTGGGGGGTCGGATTCTGCGGAGTCCGAGTTGCCGACCGAAGTTTGCAAGTTGGTGGTGCGAAACACCTTCCTGGAATTGGATGAGGTGAATCCATGCCCCAAGAATGCCATGAGGCGAAGCAAAAGTGAATCTGGTGACCTGTCAACCTTTTCTGTATAGCAGGGCCATGCACTCTGTACAGTTTGATCGATGGAATCAACTTGGTGCAGTGGCTACTTAGCACTGAATTGGTAATCTGAGATCCTGCAGCGCCACTTCCTAGTGCCCATGTTCACTTAGGCAGCTCCTCTGCAGGTTTGTGCAGGCAGTGATCTGGCATCGAGAGCACAGAGATCTGCGTGGAGCATAATGCTACCATGTGGATCAACGGTGGAACCACCTGCACGTTTGTACAGCAATATGCACAAATTGACAGCCAGATGCTGCATGTAGTTTCTTTATATGAACTTTCCCGGCCAGTCTGGTTGCGAAACGCACATTGAACTTTCGTAACTTTCGTAACTTTTGGGCCATGTGTGTGGAATTCCAAGACGGCCCAGGGATGAGTTGCCCCCCTTGGTCCCTTCTTCTTCTGTGATGAGGGCCTTGGACGCCTTGGACTCGCCACAGAGCGGAGTCCAACAAACGTGCGCGACGGCCGTGGGCTGTGGACTGTGGGATCCGAGGAGCACGGGGACCACAGGGACCACAGGGGGCTGACCTGGATCCATAGGCGCTGCAGCGCGCAGCAGCCGAAGCCGAGCCTGAGCTCCTGAAGGTGAAGTGATGTGAAGTGATGTGAAGCGATGTGAAGTGTGAAGGGCCGGTTTATCAGACGGAGGGTATGAGGATAGATTCGGATAGATGCCATCGGTTCAACACAACGCCGTCAATTTTACATATTGTGTAATTTTTTTAAATAATATATTGTCCAGAGATGTCCAGCGGAACCACCGGAATTACTGTACCCCCTACAAATTGTGAACATATTTGAATGCCAATCGGTCAGGATGCGCTGGCAGATCTTCATCGTGACCTTTTGGAGGGCTTGCACCGATGGCGTGCCAGGCACAAACCAGTTCAAGTGCGTAGGTATTGTGAAGGTTAGCGAGAAAATCACAAAAAATCCATTAGAACAAATTAATTAATAAGATAAAATCAACAGTTCGATTCAATCCACGATTGTTGTGAAAGAAAAGCACAGCTTTTCTGATGGACATAAATGAGTGTCATGGCCGGCCATTTTGGCTCAAGTGGCCAGACACTCGAAATCCCTTTCTCATGATGAGTTTGTTCAGGGTTTTCGCGGTCTGCCATGTTTCCTTCGCAATCTGTCGCCTTGGACATGAAGGTTTTGACGGATGTGAAGGACTACTACGAGCTGCCTGCCCCATTGTGGAACGCCTTCATCCAGGTGGCGGGGGATCCAGGAGACGACCTCAAGCTCTTGGCCATCCTTCCACAACCCGTGGTGGCAGCAGCACTGGAAAGAGCAGTACAACCCGATGGTGCTCCGCTCAGCGCAGTTCAGGCATCCCATGTGGGTATGGTTTACAACTTGGCGAAACGGATTATCCATGTGAAAGGGGGCGGGGACTGGGACAATTGGAAGAACCAAAGCCCCTTCATGGACCAGAGGGAACCATCACCTACACAGCCTGGACCCACGACTACAAATTCGAGTCCCAGAGAGCGGAAGCTCAAAATGACACAGGTCATAGACCAGGCGGACGACGGGGAGTTCTTGGTCGCAACGGAGGAAATCCGATCTGGCTGGTATCAACGCTACCTCGAGATCATTGGAGGTTGGCCACAGGAGGAAGAGGACCCCAGCGTGGAGCAGGTGAGCGCTTTGCAGAGGCGCATACAAATACAAGACCAAGCACCCTATGTGGACTTTGGAGTATGGGTGCCATATGGACAAAGGGCAATGAAAGCTGCAAAGTTCAGGTCCTACGTGCTCACGGCATCCGGGTACGTGACGAGGGAACTCCCAGGGCCATCTACGTTTGTGCAGTGGCGGACATCATTCAGAATTTTAAGGACAGCCCTGATCATGTTGGACGCTGCATCACTCGCAGCCCTCCACAACTACGAGATGGCCATCGAGAAGATGACGAGAAACTACCCGACGGCTTGGCACCTCATCTATGCAGCAGACGAGTTGGCCCGATCCGCACACTCGAACAGGGTGCGTGCAAGGGTACAAATGGATGTCAGGGCTGGCAAAAGCCCCCCATCAAACTGGGATCCAAAAAGGCCATGGGACTACGTCTTCACGGCGATTGCAGCCGACAAGAACTTTTGGCACGCGCAGGTTCATGCCCCGGCCTTGACATGGTTGGCAGCTGGAAGCCGTGGAACTCCAAAGACGCCAGCAGAACAACTTGCAACGGCGTACATGACCGGAGGAGTGAAAGCCATCACTCCGCAGGTGGAGACGGACGTCAAAGAAGATGGCGAAAGCTACAGCGCAAGAAGGAGACCAAGGCCCAACAAAAGAAGGAGAGGCGAAGGAGGAGGAGGCTCAGACAACAATGGAGGGCGCGCCAATGCGGACGACGGCAACAAGAAGGGGAGCGGCAAGACGAAGCAGAAATGTTTTGCATGGAACAACGGAAATGGTCCTTGCGCCAACCTTCCTCCTGGCCAAGCTTGTGCTGCAAAAGTCAAGAGGGAGCACAAATGCACCATCTGCAATTCACCTGGGCACCCTTCTATGTCATGCCCAAACAAGGAGAAGAAGTAAAACCCACTCGACATGGAGCTGATGGGCACGAAGGCAAAGGAGAGTCCAAGAAAGAAGACAACTCAAAAGGAGACGATGCCTCCTACACCGAGACCTACACCTATGAGTCCAGTGAGGGTGAAGAACAGAAAGAGGGCGAAGATGACCCTGAGTCCGAAGATCCGTTGAAGGCGGAAACATTGGAGGACTACTACAACAAGAGGGTCTTCGTTTTCGTCCATCACTATGCGGGGCCAAATGACCCACTGTCAGCGGCAATGAGGGGAGAGGCATTGAGGAGAGGCATCAAACTGAAGGTGGTCAGCGTAGAAAAGGAAGCAGGCACTGGGAACCTGCTGGACCCAGAACCTTACACAACCCACCTACGCTGGGCCACACGAGGCTACATTGATGCTTATCACGCGGGATTTCCGTGTTCAACATTTTCCCGCCTCCGACATCGTGCTGCTGAAGGTCTCCCCGGACCTGTCCGGTCGAAAGAAGAGCCTTACGGGCTGAGGGCAAACACCCAAAGGCAACAAGAAGCCTGTGACGTGGGCACCATCCTGGCCTCCAGGTCGATTGACATCGCGTCGAAGGTGGCAGAATCAAGAAGGCAGAGCACCGTGCCGGCAATTGCAACTCTTGAAAATCCTCCCCCAAGCACCGTTGAAGGCCATCTTTCAGCTTGGGAATTGCCTGAGATGAGGAAGTTCACGCAGGGCCCCAAGAAGTTGACGGCACAGTTCAACACCTGCAGGTACCAACCAGAACGCCCAAGGGGAGAAAAGCACTTCAAGCCACAGCAATTCAGTGGTACGTTACTGGGCCTGCCGGCGCTGTCGCTGACCTGCAACTGCGGCAACTCCACTCACGAACCCATCATCGGGCCAGATCGATCGAGGGCATCAGCAGAATACCCGGTGAAGCTGTGCAAGGAATATGCCATCCTGGCGGTGTCGCAGCTGATCCTCATGGGGAAGGAGGAGTTCCTGTCTTCGAGAATGTCGACCCTCAGCGAGTTCATCGAGAAGAACAAGCCGGGAGTGGTGGACAGGGACACGGTGCAACCGATTCCAGAGCCACCCAAACCGCCGAGGAGGAGGAGCCCATCGAAACGAAGGTCAACACCAAGTGGTAGTGAAGAAGAACCCCATGCCCGAAACCGCAAGAGGGTTCGCCAGAACGAGAAGGGCTCGAGTTCATCTGCACCCAGGCCTGCTTCCTCGGGGCGAGCCCATGCAGACAGGCAGAGATCCCGCACACCTGTGCGTCAGGTTCACCTGGAACCCAACAAAATATCAGGCTTGTGGAAAGGAGGGGAAGGGAAATATGGAGCCATCAAGAAGATCTCGACCAAGGCCGCCGACGTCAAGATGGAAGAGTACGTGGGCGGACTCAGAGACCCGTACAAGGTTGTGCTGCCGAGATCAAACATGCTCACCATAGGGCTGAAGATAAGAGCCGCGTGGGAACATTTTGATAGGCAGTTCAAAGAAGCTTCAAGAGTGGGCGAGCAGTACGGCACGAAGGAGTGCAGCCTAGACGACAGGCTGATCGTGGAGTGGAGGGCACGCCTCAAAAGGGTTGTGGGAGCACAAGCCCCACCTGCTGTCCGGGTCACCCACAAGTGGATCTACAAGTCGCCACTCCAAGCAGAAATCATCAAGGCTTGGATTGAAAAGGGAAACGACCCCGACAAATACGTGCCGGAATGGATTGAGCACGGCGCCCCGCTGGGCATTGAAAGGCCCATTGAAACAGCAGGCATCTTCCCGCCGAATGACGATGCGGCCAACAACCTCGACTACCACGGCAGTGCAGAGCTGGAAGACGCATCCGCACAGATGGAACGTGGGGAGCTCCTCAACTACTTGTCAGTCCAGGACAACGTGGAGGAAGCGAAGGTTGAACTTGACAGATATCGCCAGGCGGGGTACATGGTAGACGTGCCCAAAGCCATCGTCCAACATGAAATGGGACATGGCACCATCAGCCGCCTGGGACTGATCATCAAAGAAAAGCCGGAAGGCATCAAGAGGAGAATAATTTTGGACCTCAGGAGGTCAGGGGGCAATCGGAAATCTCAGCTCCCGGAGAAACTGGTTCTCCCTAGGCCGAGGGACGCCTTGGAGACCATAAGAAGTGTGTACTCAATGCGTCGAGCACACGGAGGCGGCGATGGGTACGCGCGGGAGCTGGTGGTCATCGACATCAGTGACGCGTTTATGTCACTAGGCCTTCATCAAGAAGAACTGGCCCATGCGCTGGCACCCAATGTCGCCAACGACGACTTTTACATGTTCTCAGCCATGTTGTTTGGCTTCAAAACAGCCCCATTGGTCTGGAGCAGGGTCGCAGCACTTTTGGCCAGAATGCTACAATCTTTGGTCAATGGAGCAGAAGCCCAACATCAAGTTTACCTGGACGACAGCTTCTGGGTCCTGCAGGGCACTCTGAAAGAGCGAAACAGCATCCTTGCCATGATCCTCACAACGATGGCTGCCTTGGGATTCAGAGTGGCCCTCAACAAAGGAGAACGATCCTCACAAATCCAATGGATCGGAGTGCGCTTCACCATCACGGAGGACGTCATCATCATGACCATCCCCGACAAGTTCGCCAACGAACTGATCGCACTCTTGCAAGGTTGGGAAGGAAAAGGAATGGCCCCTCTCAAGGAACTGAGACAAGTGTGCGGCAAAGCCTCATGGCTATCAGGCATCTTGCCGAAGGCCCGTTGGCTCGTGTCCATCTTCTATGGAGTCCTTCACGAACGGCTCAACGACCTGGCCAAAGGAGAAGAGGATAGGACGCCTCCAAAGGGAAGATCAACGCCGCAAAGAGGGCCTTTTTGTGGTGAAACAGTTGGAACAAGCAAGAGTTTGGATGATCGCGTTCTTGGGGGTCGCGATGGAACGCCCAACACGCAAGTTCAAGCTAGACGTGGGGCGCTACCCAAAGGCCACCGTCATCACTGACGCCTGCCCCACAGGGATGGGCGGCATCTTGCTGATCAACAACAGGGTCATAAAAGCCTTCGCCTTCAAAGTCACCGAGACGGACGCGAAGGAATTAGGATTCACAGAAAGTTGGAAAACCGCCGCATCGCAGGGCATCGTCGAAACGCTGGCGGTCTTGTTGGCCCTAAAGATATGGAAGGACCAATTGGCCTCTTGCCACCTGGAACTGCAAGTTCAATCAGACAGCATGGTGGCACTATCGACCTCGCAAAAGCTGTCGAACCCCAACGCAGCCCTCAACTTCATTGGTGCCGAAATAGCCATCCAATGCGAAGCCATTGGGGTGGAAGGGCTAAGGGCCACTCACATTCCAGGCGTGGCCAACGAAGTGGCAGACTATCTTTCAAGGGAGGACAAGTGGGAGTCCGCGACAAAACCCAAGGACCTCGAGAACGTGCCCATCCACAATGATGAGAGCGCACGAGGGGCGGACTTCTACTTTCTGCCAACTCCGTTTCAGGCCCCGGAATTGTGGCATTCCTCCGCAACAGCCAATCAAATATGGGCCAGTTTGCGTTGAGATGACAGAGATTTTACATTTTCGAAAGGAAAAGGAAAATCGCAGACGTCAGGTGTCTGTCGACATACACACTCACAAACTTAAAACTAAATAAAACTAACAATTGATTTCATCTTTGCAAGTTTGGGGTTTCGCGTTGCTTAGGCTCAAAATGACTGCAGTCGCTCTTTTTCGCCCCCCGGCCGCTCCGGCCATTCTTGCCCAGGTTTCTCCATGGCATTTACTCAACTTCCTGCTGGTCGGGGTCGGCCTCCTCTGCTTCATCACCGGCACGATAGCCTATTGTCTCTACTACATGGGACGACCGAAGAAGCCCACAGATCCCCCGACTCAGGACGAGGCACTCCTGGACACAGACTACTTGCCTTCCTCCGGACACCAACACCTTCATTGGTCGCGGTTACCCAGGGAGGAAATCCCACTGGCGACATTTGTGACAAGGAGACCAAACGCCTGGCACTATCTGCAAGCGAGAGGGCACGAATGCGTCCTGATGATCGATTGGTGCAAGTCACAGTTGATGACGCTCTGGGTGCAGTGGACCACATGGAGACGCTATCAGACTCCCCAATGGCAGATGACCCTCTTCCGGACATTGGTTCAAGCTCCTCCGCACCTTTTCCTCCTGAACCACTACCAGAAAGTTCCGAGGCCGAGCTCATGAACACGATGGCCCTGGGACAGGATACCGCCCGAAGCCACCAAGGCCCATGGTGGAGGGAACTGCTGTCCTCCCCAGTCAAGAGGTTGTGCAGAACAAATTGGAACAACCCTTTTGGCGCAGCAGAAGCCCCAGCCCTGCGCTTGCCACCTCCGAAAACAAACCCCGTGGTGTTGAAGGCCGCGAAGTCGAAGGTTTTGAAGACAACATCCACGCTGAAGAAGAGGCGCACCGACATCCCAGACAGCAAAAGGAGAACAGTTTTGAACACACCCAAAGCTGGCCTTAGAGGAGCCGTAGCGTGGGCGAAATCAAAGGACGCCAGAGAACGAGCAGTCCAGAATCTGGAGAAGGCGTTCTATGCCAACTCATCGAGAGCAGCCAAAAGTTCAAAGAGGAAAACCATCATGGATATCTTGACCGCAGCGAAGGAAAACTATCCACTGACACCTTTCTCCATCAAACTCATCGCGGCCACGCTGAAGGAAGCAGGCTACAAATCGGCCTACACGTACCTCATCGAAGCAAAATCCTACCACCTCGAGCGGGGACATGAATGGACCCACTCGCTGGACAGATGGTTCAAGCTGTCCATCAACGCGGCAAAGCGAGGGATGGGGCCCAGGAAGAAAGCTCCAGAGGTGCCGGAGAACGAGTGGTCCAACTTTTCCCTCCTCACTGACTACAGGGATCGAGCCACAAAGGTACGTCTCCCAATGCATCTTTTCGCAACAGGAGTGCGTTGGATGCTAAGGGAGATAGAAGTAGCGGCACTGACCTGCAATGACGTCAAGCTGGATAGCTCGAGCAGGATGGTGACTCTAACATGGACGGAGTCCAAAACAGACACCGCTGCCCGGGGCATATCACGGACAATGCAGTGCATCTGCGCTGACACGTGTGACCTCAAGTGCCCCTACGCAGTGATGGAAGTCTTGGTAAACCACGCAGCTCTCAAAGGAGCACCTCAAGGGCTTTTGGCTACATCGATCGACAACACGGAGGTCACGAAGGCCGAACTGGTAAAGAGCTGGAACGCTCTATTTGGACCCGGAATCACGGGCCACTCGCCCAGGAGATCCAGAGCACTGCAATACATCCGCAGGGGATGTGCAGTTGCCCAAGTGGGGTACCTGGGCAGGTGGAAGAGTAGTATCATCCTGGAATACGCTCAGGAAGCCTTAGAAACCATGGCGGTCAACGTCGACAAGAAGTTCGGCCTCAACGACCTAATCAAGAGCACGGACCAGGTAGATACAGAAATCCGACAACTGGCACCGAGCGTGCACTCTTGCATGCCAACAGAGCCAGAAGTCAAGCTAGCCATGGTCAAGAAACTCGAAGCCGAACTGAGCGCGTTCAAAGAGAACTCAGCCAACGCCAAGGCGAAGCTCACTGAGTCCATCAAAGAGCTCAACACCAAGTTCGAAGGCGGTATGAAGTATCTACCAAGAATGGTAAAATCTCATCGCAACCAAGTGATCCACCTGAACACGAAGGCCCTTGTCTATGCACCATCACACCTTTGGAAAACAGTGTGCGGTTGGCACTACTACAACTCGACTTACGAGTTCGTGGCAGGTGAGTCCAACATGGTAACCTGCAACAAGTGCTCCATGGCCGCGCAATGCAGGGAGGAAATGGATGCGGCATAGCTTCAACTGGCACTTCCCAAATTGTGTCATAGCTGTGCCAAATCCATCAGGATGTGATGAGACAACGACCTTTGCAGCACTCAAAACGTATCGGAGCTGCTGGGTGGGATGGTGGCTTTAGTACTTTACATGACACGAAGAGTGTCTTCCTAACCTTTTCAACCCCAGTTTGTGTTGGGCATCAGGCTGGCGGCCTGCCCGGAACTGCAGGCCGGAGCGGGAGGTTTGGGCCCGGGACGAGGGGCACCTTTGCGGCGGCCAGGTGCCATCTCGAAGAGAACGTGGTGTTCTCGGTGCATGTTGAGATGAATGGAGACTCATTCACTCCAAAATCTCCAAACAATTTGATTCCCATTGATTCCCTACTTTTTGATCTTTTTGGACCGACCATTTTGAAAACGCGATGCCTGAGGGCAACGTCGGGGCTTGTTGGCCCATGCAGACAGCGAGTCTGGGAAACAACTGGTGAATGCCTGAGGCTTCAGGCGGTCCAGCATGGTCCAGCATGGTCCAGCATGGTCCAGCATGGTCCAGCATGGTCCAACTGGATGAATTTTGTCACGAAGTTTGACGAAGTTTGTGGGTCTCAGAGTCTTAGAAACAGTCCTGTCCTCGTTTCCAACCATCTTTGCATGCAACACGCCTGAGGTTGAAATCAGTGTTTATTTGCTCGCAGCACCTGCATGTTGCCATCACCTGGTGTGGTGTTTTTGTTGGTTGACTTTTTGATACTTGTAGATCACCATAGATCACCCCATGGCCATAGCTGCCAGGTTTGGGGCGAGGCTGGTAATATCCGCTTCATGTTGGGATCCCATTGCCAGCAGCGCCAGCAGTCTTGATATATTGGATGACCATTGGATGCCCATTGGATGCCCATTGGATGCCCATTGGCTGGCGGTCTAAGGCCCGAAGTGGTTTGCTTCCTCACAGAGCTGGCGCTGGCTTCTGAGGATGTACAAATGGGAGGCCCAGAGATGCTCAGAGGGTTCCGAGCAGGAAGTAGGATAGCACCAAACGATGTGTTTGGGATGGGAAAAAACATGGTGGATTTTCCACCTGGAGGTTGCTTAGAAGGATTCGGATTTCGTTGGAAGATATCGTATTCCAAACTGGCATCCCAGTGGACTTCCCAAAATCCACACAGAGGCGGGTCTGGTAAGTGTCATGTCACTCGGTGACCGTGGCAGGTTCACTCTATCAGGGCAGTGGCACAACCAAGAGTGGCCTATTCCTCGCCAAGATCATCAGACCGATTTACAATGTTATTTTTGAGGACCGCGGCCATAGATATCTGCAATGTCGCCTGTGCCTATAAAATCCTATAAACATGCTATATTAATCTATATTATATGTTGCTACCCCATTGGCATATGCAGTCTGCAGTTATTGAATTCCTAAAAGGGGGGGAGTTGAGTTCCTTGCTTTTGGCCAAGTTTGGCATGTGGCAGTGGCGGCACGTGTCGACACTGCTATGTGCGTTTTGTGCTGCAGGAGTGGTACCTTAGAGTCGACGTTGACGCAAAGACTGGCAAAGACAAGAAAGTCTTGAGAGACAAGTTTCACAGATTTCTTCCAGCTGTGAGCTCAATGGGCTGATCTGTTTGACCCTGTCCTGCAATGGCTGCGGCAAGGCAAGAGTTGTGCATGACACCCCGATCCAAACAGGAGTTGTTGAGTGGGACTCGCATGGAAGCTTCCCATTGTGCGCAGTTTGGCTCATCTTTGTAGTTCTGCGGTGCGTCCAGCACACACACGTGAAACCGCCCAGTAAGTCAACAGCAGCATTTCCACAGACACTGTTTCGCACACTTTTTTGCGGGGAAAACGATGTCTGCAGTGTCCGCCTGAAGCCATGGACCGATTGTCTGAGCAGCTCTTAACAGCTTGCAACAAAGGCCTGGCAAGTTTGGTCCCTCTGCTGTTGACGAAAGGTGCTTCGGTGAATTGGAGCCGCAGTGATGGCTGGACTCCGTTGATGTCCGCCTGCAGTGGTGGCCACTTGACGGTGGCCCAGCTGCTGTTGGATGCCGGCGCCTCTGTGGACGCTGCCGCAGCCGATGGCTTCACGGCACTCATGGAGGCCTGCACCGCAGGACGTTTGGAGTTGGTCGATCTGCTCTTGGAACATGGAGCCAGCATTAGTCATGCCACCCCGAGTGGACGTACTGCTGTGATTTTAGCTAGTTTGTATGGGCACACGGAGGTGGTAGAGCTACTCCTGAACCATCACGCAGATTGCCGACCCAACAAGTTCACAGCGCTGCATGCCGCCTCCGGCAATGGCCAGTCTGCTGTAGTGGAGCTATTGCTGCGAAAAGTACCAGTAGATGCTGAGGAGGCCTCAGGGGCTTTCATCTCAGCCTGTGCCAACGGACATCTGGAGGTAGCTCAACTTCTATTGCAACATGGTGTGTCTCCATGTGTCTCCAGCAGTGATGGCACCACTGCCTTGATGAAGGCTTGCATGGGAAGCCACCGAGATGTGGCAGCTGAGCTGATCTTGCATGGCGCCAGCGTAGAAGATGCTTTAAGCACAGCCAGGCGCAGCAAGATGCCAGGTGTGATGCGAGTCTTACACCGAGCAGTGGAGGAAGCCATGTCTAGGAGTGGGAGTGAAGCTCGAGATTTGGATGACTTGGTGCACAGCATTGAAGGGAAAAAGTTGGAGAAGAAGGCCCTGAAGAGGGACCGCATCTTCCGCTCCCATTTCTCAGTGGCATCCACCTCCACTGCCTTTGCAGCCTCGGAGGGGGCTACAGAGTCACCAGGACGTCCAGAGAATGAAGCAGGTGCCACGGCCACAGCATCACCTGAAGCCACAGAAGATGAAGAGGACATTGATGAAGCTGACATCCCCATCGCGCCGATTGGTCAGAAAGGGACCTGCCAGTTGAGTGGGGCATCCTGGTTCAAGGCCTTGTCCTTCGATGACGATGCCACACGCAAAAGCGAGCGCCAGGAGCGCCGGCGCCATGCCCAAAGCGTGGGCACCGCAGCTCCGGCTCAGGTCAGGGTCGACTCCCAGGACCTCGACCTCCAGGATCCCATTCCGCCGCCTTGTCGGCCATGGGACGACATCCTGCAAACAACAGCAAAACATTTTCCTGAGACTACAGCCAACCGATTGAGTCAGTTGGCTTATGGTAGCACCTTGCAGATGCCTCTCTACAAAACAGCTTGCTATACCATTGAGGTGCTCATGGAAGAGCCACCCTCACCAATCTGAAGTGCAAGCCATGCAGCCAACAGAGTTGCATAGAGTATGACTACCAGGATTCGATTCCAATCTGAGTGCAGCACAGCGCAGAGTGCGGGGTTTCACCATTTGGGGGGGTGGGTCAAAATTCGAGAGGAATCAGTCAGTCTCTAGATTTTGCTCATTTTCTGCCAAGTTTTTCTTTAGCATCCAATGTTGGGAATCGCCCGCTCCCAATTCTGACCCAACAATAACCCACTTTCTATCCGTACCGCCTTTAAAATGCTGAACAGAGGGGCAGCTGAAGCAGCACACGACCAAGTCTCAATGGAGCCGCCTAAGTGGTGCTTTTGGCCTTTCCAAAGTTCATCCATCTCCGTCAATTTGATTTTGACAGGCTCCCAGTTGAGAAGCTACAGATTGTACAGCCCGATGAATTTGATGCCCAAATGTTACGTTATGTCACGTTATGTCACGTGATAATATGTTGTATGCTATGCAGCTGCGCATGGTTTTGCATTGCTTAAGTTATTATAATCATCGCCAGTGCTGTCGAGAACCGGATGCAAACAAGATCGGGCTGTGAAGATGGTTGTCGGACCATCCGGGCCTCCTTGACCAACGAAACTGCCAGGGTACGTCGGGAACGCGCAAAAAGGGCAGCTGAAAGATGCTGAAAGGAGAACTAGGATGATCGCTGAAGTAAACAAATCGAATTTGATTGTAAATGATATATATATATATATGTATAAATGATATAAATGGTTGACACTTGGGGATTAAATCCGAATGACATAACAAGAGAATACGAGAGCTATAGCCTAGGTACCAAGATGGGCCATGGTCGCTTCACCAAGGTGGACACGGCCAACTACGACGATTGGAACGAGCTTTTTTGCGATCCCATCCGCATGTCGGATCAACTCCGCTTGGAAGATGGTACCAGGTGACTGCTGGGAGATGTTTGCCATATTTTGCCATACCCATATATATATATACACCTAATATATATAAACATATACAACACACACACATATATATATATATATATCAGATTCATATTAGATGGTGCACATTGATTTGTGTTGATTTCATGGGATTTAGCGTTTCAAATGTCCCATCCTGACTCATCTGATGGGCCCAATCAGGGGTAACGTCAGGCTGTTTGACCTTCCTCACGAGCATCGTTTTGCGGCCTTGCACCGGGTGAATTGGAGACGAGCGTTGGCTGCCAATATGGTGAAGACCCACCGGGAGGCAGGGGATGCAGAGGGATGTAGAGGGATGAGAAGCTTCACGTATTGATTTCTATTTCTAGTGATTCTTTTGTGAACTTGTTTGCTTGGATTCCCATCTGAGATGGTCTGAGTTATGTTTGAATATGTTTGTTTGATTTTGTTTGAATGTGGGATCAAATCGCCTGTTTTTGAAACTGCAGAATTCCCGCGTAGGTCGACTTTCAATGCTAGCATTTGAGAGCTGCCTTAGCTGCCTTGGCTGCTTTAAGACATATTTCTCTTAGCCGTTTGTCAGGTGCATTCACTCTGGGGCGTTTTCGCCAGCATCCATCGAGTCATCTTGCTGCATGCGGTGCTCTTTTTGGCCCTGCTCCTCATTGCGGTCGTTCGGGGCACCCAGACTTCCGATGGGCCTGGGGGATGGGCAGATTGTCCGCATCAAACCGTAAATTATGGTAAATTAATTATGGCGGATTCATCTGTAGGTTATTATAGATTATAGATGATTTTATAGACTATATAACTTATAGTCACTTCTTCCTCTCCGCAGGAGAATGAGCTGCCCACCATGACATCAGCGGTCATCGGGCACATGGCTCAGATCGTGGCAATTGAAGCCAGCCATGCAGCCGTCAGATCGTGGCACTTCATTTCCCACCATCCCAAGGAGCAAGCGGTCCGTACGCTTTGCCATTCTTGGCTTGATAGTTCGCAGCCCAAGCGTATGGAATGCGAACATGATCTGTTGACAGCTGTTTGGCATTGTTTTTCCATGGCGCCATCAATTGATGCATCAGGAGCAATTTGAAGATACTTTAAGATTATTAAGATGCTTTCATCACGTTTCAGAACATAATTCAGGAAGCATCATGGAAATATGATCAAATATATTCAAATATGAATCAAATATGAATCAAATCAAGATGCCCCAGAGGCCCCAGAGGCCCCAGAGCCGATTTCCCCAGCCCCGTGGCCATTTCAGCATCCGCAGCGGCGCAGCGCGGGTCCGCCGCCATGGCGGCCGAGGCCGAGGCGTTCCGCCCGGCGAAGCGCCTGAAGGCCGCGCTGGCGCCCAACATCTTCGCGCAGTTCACGGCCTTGGCGAATCAGCACAAGGTGTGGATGAAGTGAGAAAAAAAGGCTGTGCATGACTGTTTTTATGATGTGTTTATGATGTTTAATATTGAATAATGGATGATATGGATGTATATGGTGTTTTTCAAATCATTTTTTGGATTTTTTGAAGTATTCCCGGAATTGTTTGCAGTACAACAATTGGTGAGTAATTAATTACAACTTTCGAACACGTTAAGTATTATTATTCAGGTAAGTTCTATAATAATTGATTATTATTATTATTATATATTATTATTATATATATATAATTTATATAATGTAGACTATTTATATACTAGCGTATATATATATATATGTACATATATATATATATATATCTCTCTCTCTCTCTCTTGTTAATGGAATGTCGACCAGGTAATATTCCACCATACAGGTGCATAGGTAGTGTTCAAGCCAGCAGCGGGTTGTCTGCCAATCCTTTCCCGCTGCTTTGGCTCAAGATCACTGCGACAAAGACAAAAGAGGCTGCTGCGCGCCAGAGAACTTCGGACTTTGCACTTTATCCTCAAGGGGAATACAAGGACATAAAAGTCACGGAGTACGTTGAACTTGTACCCAATCTCAGGTTATTAGCCCTACGCTCTGCCTAAGGGTGTACGGTGGTCCTGTAGCCTTTAAGCGCAAACTGTCGTTGTCTTTGGCATCCTGCGCTTCTTGCCCTACTACCTGTCAATCGGACTGGTGTACACGGAAGTAGTGTGAAGCACAGTAGCCAAAGCAATGTCACAGAACAATACTAGCAGCAATGAAACCCATTGGTCCTTTGCGTCCCCGGCCCAACAATCGAACACTCCAGGGTCGGGAGACAGCGGTGGTGGAGGTACAACTTCATGGGTCGGTTGTAGGAGTGGCGGCAATAGCGGAGCTTCTGCAAGCCATGGTCAAACTACTCCAAGGGGAAGACCACAGAGGTCATCTTCGGCGAGGTCGCCGCGGCGGCGCCCATCGAGGCCTACGATTGAAGAAGCAAGTGGTGCTGCCCACATGGGAGATGCTGCGCGGAGTAACTGTTAGCCCTACGGCTGGCGCCGCGAAACGTAAGCCTTCGAACAGCGCTCCTCGGGGGGGAGAGTGAACTTCGCAAACAACTTCTCCATGTCAGCAATGACATGGATAAGAGTGAGAAAGCCAGGATGGAATTAGAAGAAAGAGTCACTTTGTTTGAGGATGCATTATGTCATCGCGATGAAGCAATGAGTGAAAGAGCTACCTGGCATGGATCCCATCTTTGTGGAAACCGACCGTCAGGTGTCAAGCTGCCCGCGCATTGCCTGCGGAGCACATGGATCCTTGTCCATGGGAAATGGGAGAAGATCGAGCATAGGTTTGACCGATGGGTGGAACGTGCATGCTTTCAGTATCATGCTCCCACTTCTGCACCAGTAGTCTCTGCAGATGTGTGCTGTACGGCGCACGTCTGTGCCTCACGCCCCACTGCGCGGGGGTCCGGTCCGAATACTGGACGAGCCGACCCGGAATTTACGTTTGGCACGGAATGTCTATTTGAACAAGCGGCATGGAAGCCGAAGATGCCTTTCACCATGCATCAAGGGCCCCACCCACTATTCGTGTGATCAATGCGCTGATGCGCCTTGTTCATGGGGGAGAGGTATGGGGGGTCCTCCAACTACGTCAAATTCATCTGTACCCAGCATAAAGCGGCATCAGCAACCGCTACAAGTCAAGCTCCGGATCAATGGAAGTGGATATAGACGACTTCCAGAACCCACAATAGCCCCAGAAGAACTATGTTTGTACCAGGTGATTGTCAAGATTGTCCAAGTGATCATTGTTTGATTGAGGACCAAAAAACAACTGAGCAGAAGCTCCAGTCAAACGTGAGGACGCTCAGGGACAATCGGCGTCTTGCAGGCAACAATGGAGAGAGATCAAACAAAAGGAACGAGGTCTGGACCGAGAAATCTATCTTCCGTGTCAAGCAGTGCCGCAAAGTGTCTCCTGCAGTTGGTTGCATTGTGGATGATACTGTGGTTTCGTGTGTGAACACCAAGGGTATGGAGCTCATTTCCCCTAAGAAGGTCTTTATTTATCCCTGCCACATACGCCCTCAAAGTTCAGAAGAAGGAGATACCATATGAGGGCAACATCGATGACAGTCACGTATATCTGGTTCTGGTTCGGAACAGTGGGGACATCTCGCACTACAAGTTCCATAGGTCTATTCCGGATCTTTTGGGAACAGATTATGGCAGCCATGACATTGAAGTGAGCATTCATGAACTATCCGATGTGGTTCCCGCTATGGTGTTGATGTGTGCTGAACCATTCAGCTGAATGACAAAACGGTACAGTCATGGTACTGACATGTCGTTTCATCTCGAATTGGTCACGGAGGATGATGATCTCCTCTCCAAGTACGGAGATGCCAAATGGAGGGCTTGCCTCCGATCCGCCGATCCAACGAGGATTGCGTGTTCTTTGCTGGACCATGCGCCTGCGGATCCCCGTGTAACCGGTTGAGCAAAAGGAACAGTCCGGTTACCGCTCATGAGATCAACATGAAGGCGTCATTGTACTGGAAATTTTGGGAAGTATTTTCACAAGGTCTTCTCAAGGTCATCAACTTGGACGCCGTAGCTCTACTGAAACTGCCTAGAGGAGGTGATTATTCGAATGACAAAAGGATGAAGTTCATGATCAATGGAACTGAGTCGCACATCCATGACTTTGATGGTTGCGTGCACGGTCTTACTACACAGTTTGCTGAAGGAATGCCCCAATTGAAGAAACCATGGAGAATCGTGTCATGGGGGTCAGGTTTGAATTCAACAAGAAGTGTGCCCGAAGCCACGACCATGGAGAGTGTGCAAGTAGAGAAGCTAAGTAAGGTGACTCAAACGTGCACTGATGAGATTGTGGACATCATTTTGAAAACAGTTCATCGGCGAATGTCGGCTCCATTTTCCAAGAAGGTTGTGGACGATCAGAAAGTGTGCAACAACTGTCAACATGAGCAAACCAAGAACAAGAGACGGAAGAAGAAAAAGGTTGTAGTTGCATTACCTGAGCACCACATCCCAAAAGCTCGAGTTATGGGAGAATGTGTTCATGCAATATATGAACAACATGTGCAACATCCAAGCGATACCGTCGCCCATTTCAGGTTCAACTACCACAACATTTCTCGTCCTGTTCGTCCGGGCCGCGCGTGTGCCGTCGGCGGTTGGGACACCAGATAAGGGAAGCGCGTGTGCCATACGGCGGCCGTGCGGAACTTTTCTGGGGACACCGAGGAACTTCTGTGCCACACGGCACAGGAGGGAATCGGAGTCCGAAGTTGACGGTGCCATTCCACCGATCTACAAGAGCTATGAGGAGATACAGCAACCATTGCAATGGCATCAATCCGATCGCTGCTGCGTCGGCCTGCTATACGGGTCGCAAGATTGGCCCATTTGGCCCCAGATCGGACATGCTCATGTTACATGTTCCATCAGATCTTGGAGTTGACGGATGAGGCGGAAGAACTCAACATGACCGCGAGGAAGTTCACCCACAAATGCACGACCTACATCCGGTCCTTCGTCTTACTGGCATCCGCCAAGGCGGAGTTGATAGCTGGGTTCATCACTGCCGGCAGCATCCCAAGGATGGCAACATTATGGGATATGATCAAGGACAGGCACGTCCTATACCCAATTTTGGCCGCGGAAGACTTCACGACATTAAAGCTGAGGGACTTCATCAGAAAGTTCAAGGCACGATCCACGAGTGGCGATCTCCGGGGCATCAACAACTCGTCCCCCGAAGACAAGACCTACTTTTCTCCGAGGACGCATGGAACGAAGTTCTTCAAGTGCTAGAGGGAGTACTGCTATTTCCGGCCGGATCCGCTACATTGGAAGAAAAAAGCTAGCCTGAAGCAACAGAAGGAGCTGGTGGAGGAGCTCGAGCAACAGGTGATTGGGCTGGGACATGCGTGGCGAATTCACAATGCGCTGCGCCCACAATTTCCCTTGAACATGGAGATGACGCTGGACCACTTGATTCACTTGATCTTTATGGACCAAAAGCTGTCATGTGAACAGCTGTCATATGTGAACAGTCAGCGGCTGTCAACCACTTCAGCAACATCCTGACCATGATGACGATGCTTGACAAGTGGAAGGAGTTCATAAGGTCCAGAATCAACTGGTGCTCGGTTGACACAAGAGAGGCATACAGGGACATGATGGCCTTTATCAACAGGACCAAGACAACCCTGGGCCTACCTGATGAAAGCCTCTTGCGCGGAGGCTACAATGTCTTCAACGCCGAGGAGCGGAACTATGGGTTCAATGACGAAGAGGAACGCCTGTTTCTCCATGATCCGGGAGTTCACATCGACCCGATCCTCAACACAAACGGGACCTGGTTCTTGGATCGGATGCGGACTTTAATGCATGGAGGAGGATTTTGAATTTCGGGGACGGGCAACTAACCGTGGAACCAGCACCCGGCAAGATGGCCTTCTGGGTTGACATGCCGGATCCAAGAAAGGCATATGCGAATCCTATCCCACCGATGGGTATGGAGTATCGAACCTACCCGACCATCATGGACTACTACCAGTCAACGAGGAGTTCAAGATTGGCATGGGGCTCGAACAGCGGTGAGTTCACCCTGTCGTGGATGCAGGGGCCCGTGGCGAATGACGATTGCAACGGCAACCTACTTGGTGGCGTGTTTTCAGTTGACCAACGCCATGGTGAAGATCAACGAGAAGTCCGCAAGTTTCAGCGACCTTGAGTGGCTGAGGATCTACAATGCGGCCCTGAAACGGGCTGAATTGATGACAAGAAGTTTTTACTTGTTAACACATCAATGATTGTGATGATTGGGCGCATCAAGGATGATGATGCTTCTTCGGCGGACTTCCTTCCGCTGAAGAGAAAAATGAATCCTGGTCTTGGAGGAAGCGTTGCAGAGAGACCGGCTCGCCCAAAGCAGCAAGATGAACTGGCGGGAAAGTTCAGGAATGGGAAGGCTTTCATCTTGACGGACCTTCGGTACAGGTACTCTTCGCAGAACAGCAGAGGATCTGCAACCAACATCCAAGGAGGCCTGGCGGATAGGGTACGGGGCATCTGTGATCAACATCACGGAATATCACGGACTACCCCGCCGATGACAATACCCTGGTTCCTCAACGCGGCAGACGACCTGAAGAGAGAGCTGGAGACTGCCACCAGCTTGGATCGCGACGGCAACCACAACCATTGACCCTGGCAGTCAGGATGAAAACAGCTCAGCAGGATCCAATGGACCGAGTACCAGAGGAAACGACGGGTGCGATTCGATGAAGCTCCTGTGCACATGACGAAGCCTTCACCGTGATCGATGACTTCCTCGTGGGCGAACTCGGAGTGGACGCCGCCATGCAAAGGCTCATCCCCGACGATGGATCAGGCATCTTCCTGACAGCATTCGAGCACCGATCGCACATTCATGAGAACGCGGAAGAAGTTGGACAACACAAAGATCCAACATTCCCTCACGTCGGAAAGCACGGGAATGTTCAAAAACTGCTTCCACGTCACTGAGATCAAGAACGTCGACAAGATCATTCGAGAAGGCTTATAGAGGAAGAATGCAGGTTTTCTTCAACCCCTTCGCACCATGGGACAACAGTGTGTGGGAATGTGTTGGGATCGAAGCTGACGCACCTGGGATCGGCATGGGTGGCGCTTGCCTTTCATGCGCACACTTTGCTGAACTATGGAGGTCTCATCAACGCCTCGGGACACTTGGTCAGCAACCACAATGTGCCCTACTCCGAGTCCATTGGAGTTTGGTGCTATGACAATTCGCATGAAGGGACCTGGCTGAGCTCGAGGCAGGAGGAACCCAGACTCAGTCGTGGAGACCCACTTCGGAACAGGGTGGTGGCATTCTTGGCGGAGAATTATACTTCGAAGGAGGCCGGCAGTGTGATGTGCCCGCAAGTCTCTCCGAAGCGCCACATGACATGACAATTTGCTTGAACTGCCACGGAGTACTTGTCAGCTACGGTGGGAGGATCCAGACTGGACAAGGTGAACAACGAAATCGTGGCGACGACGGAACAGATGAAGTCCCAACAGGTGATGGACAACAAGGTGATGACGATGTCGACATGGATGAGGAAGAGGTCGAAGAATTGGCGCGCAAAGCCAAAGAAACCGCCAAGGAGCAACAAGAGGCAGATGATCGTGAAGAAGAACACAAGCACCCAGAGCCAACGAGCACCCCCATGGAGACCGATGAAGATGATGAGAACAATCGACCTGGAACTCCACCTCCTGATCCTGGCACCGGAGTACACTCATGGCGAACGTGATTCGAAGGAGGATGAGGACGAAAGAGCCAGGCGAGAGGAAGCGGAAAATGAACAAAGAAAAGAGGAAAACGAGATGAAAGCTAATCCTCTTCCACTATGGGCGGTGAGATTGGTCCCTGGATGCATCATCGATTGTAGCACTGAAGCGGTGAACGCGGACACTGTCGACGGGGCAGCGCGTGTTATCGATGTCATCATTATGACGCACGTCAAAAATCGCTAATTACAAACCGTTCTATTCCTTCATGGTGGACATGGATGCCGCGTCGTACCGGGATAGGGTCATAGCATCTGGTGTCATTCCCGAATTTGACAACTACTTTCATTCCTTGGCGTCGACAAAGACGGGATCCTGATACAGCCGAGGGAGAAGGACATCAAGTCTCTCTTCAACAAGAAGAAATCCACCAAAGGAGAGATCGGGGGTAGAGACTTTGAAATGTTCGTCAAGGGGACCATGGGTGCGCGCATATTAGCACGTGTGATGAAATGTTTGGTCGAAATTGGCATGCGTCCACAGAGCTTCCACAACATGTACGGGGAGCAACCCGGGATGAACGACAAGGAGAAGGAAGAGCTGAGAAGAAGAAGTTCAGCTATGGTGAGACGCTTGATTCTTGGTGCCTTTGGGGTCCGGAACTATGACTACTTCCGAACAAACTATCCAACCGAGGATCACCTACACATCGACCCGGTATCCATCTACTGCGCCGTGGTGGACCATGAACAAGCACTTCTTGAGGCAGGAGGAAGCCATGAAGAATGAAGCCCAGATGATCCAACAAACCGTTCAACTCGACCCGGAGGACAGGAATTGCCACATGGAGACTATATGAGGGCGATCGCCTAAGGTCGAGAGGCGACGTCGAGCTCTGGTCCGAAAGCGGCAGAAGGATCTGCAGCACCTTCGTCAGGGAAGAAGAAGGCAAGAAAGGCCAAGTAGCGATGAGGATGCTATCCTGAAAAACACTTGAGAGGGGCAGCCTGAGAGCCGGAGTAGTTAGTGCTCCATAATTTTGAAGAAAGGGCCAGGGTAAGATCCCTGGTTGTGCCAGCCTCCCTTGCGTCACACCAAATTCGTGCATGACACATTCACGAAACTAGTGCGCCACACGGCGTACTAGTGGAGTGATGCGTAATTCGGGGAACTGTGTGTGCCATACGGCGTACACAGGGAACCGGATAGTGTACGATAAGGAGCAGGATTTTTGATGGAGACCCAAGGCACTAATTTCATAACAAGTAAGGTGGACACTTTAAACCCTGGCATTTGCTCTCCTCCAACCAACCCCAAGAAATCATTGGCCGTGAGGGGTGTGAATGGAATGTAGACCAGGTAATATTGCACCATACAGGTGCGTAGGTAGTGTTCAAGCTAGCAGCGGGTTGTCTGCCAATCCTTTCCCGCTGCTTTGGCTCAAGATCACTGCGACAAAGACAAAAGAGGCTGCTGCGCGCCAGAGAACTTCGGACTTTGCACTTTATCCTCAAGGGGAATACAAGGACATAAAAGTCACGGACCACGGAGTACATTGAACTTGTACCCAATCTCACATATACATGCTATATATACTATACTATAAATGTGTATTGTAAATGTCAATCTAAGTTTTTGTGCGCCAAGTTTGAACCTTTTTTGAGGCCGCCAACTTGGGACAAGGCTTTCCATCCTTCGGAAGTCCTGACTTTCTCCGCAAGGCCGTAGAAGATGCCATGGATGGAGATGTCTTTGCCGAAACCGGAGCTCCAAAGGCCTTGGGCAATCAATACACGCGACCAGGAGGGGAACCGACCTTCGCTCAAACCGTTGCACGGATCTATGGGCCGCGCTTCAATCGACAACTGGATCCGATGAAGGAGATCGTGACGACCATCGGCGCACAGGAGGCGATTTTCACTTGTTTCTTTTCATGGACAGATCCAGAGGATGAGGTGGTGCTGTTCACCCCCTGTTTCGATGCTGTGGTGAAATCCGCATCCACTTTGGGCGTGAAACTGGTTGGGGTCAATATGAAGCCGCCAGACAGTGGCGCCACCAGTTCAAAGGCTTGGACGGTGAACATTGATGAACTGGAAGCTGCCATTACATCCAAAACAAGGACAGCTCAGTCATTTTACGGGTTTTGATGCTTTGACTGTTCCAGATGTTGCCGTGGATATATCAGAATCTGTGGGCCCTGTCTATATTTCCCCTTCAATCATCTTCCAATATCTTCCAATCATGACTGCAAGGGCGTGGGGAGTGTAAGAGAGCGTGATGCATATCAGAATATGTACGAGTGTGACGCGCATGCAGATTCACACAAAACATGTACCGGCTATGCATGGCAATAGGTCAGAAGTAGGCCCATCAGAACATAAAACATCAAACCACCAAAACAAATAAACATCAAACCAGTTAAACATCATCGTCATCATCAATTCACAACAAGTCATACCAAGTCTCTTCATCAGCATGTGGCCAACCCAGACTCAACCTCAGCCAGCTCTGGCCACAGGATTTTGATGTTCAACACCCCCTCCGCGCCTTTGGGGAAGGTCTTCCGAAAGGAAGAGCTGGAGGCCATCGCCGCAGTGGTGAAAAAACACCCGCGATTGCTGGTCATCTCCGATGAGGCGGGCGTTGCCATGATGTGTTCCATGATTTTCAATGAACTGTTCATATACATATGTGATTACACAGTATGGGTGATGTTTTGATTTTAATCTGTTTTGGGATGTTTTATAAACGATATTCTTCAGCCTCTTTATTTCTCGCGCGAATTTAGACGACATATGTGTTCCCCACCAAAGGTACTTGAACTTGGGTATCTTGGTGTTGTTGACCTGACCAGCCTGCAATCCACGCTCTGAATTTCTAGCTCTAGGGCAAACCGTTGGAAATCGTTGGAACCTCCAGCAAAAAAACACATTATATAATATAAACAACTGGAATCCACATCTGTGAGTGACAGGTCTACGAGAGATGTGTCTATGACAAGGTCTCGCATTTTCACTTTGCTGCCTTGCCCGACATGTTCGAGCGCACCATGACACTCTTCAGTGTTGGGAAAACCTTCTCTTGCACCGGATGGCGTGTAGGTGACTTGATTTGCTGAGGGTCTGAATGTGGCATAATTTGGCAAAATCATGCAAATTTTGTAGTTGTAATTCAATGACATTGTTCCAAAGACTTTGTTTCTACAGACTTCAGTCTGTTTGCAGTTTCTGTCCTTTCATGAATGTACTGCACATAAGTTGTGCAACAAAGTGATCACCTTATGCACCAGATCATAGATGATCATAGCAGGTCATAGTCATAGTTGGCGCCGATCACCCAGGGTATATCATTGCACCTGCAGCACTGGCAGAACCGCTACTTGCGACCCACACTGCGGTGAACTTTTGTGCCCCAACCCCTCTCCAAAAAGCCAGCGCGGCTGCTTTTCAGAAGGCGGAGCAGGAGGGATACTTCGAATGGATCTCGACCATGATGCAAGAGAAGAGGGACAAATTGGTGAAGGTCTTGCAGGAAATTGGTTTGAATCCTTTGGTGCCCGAAGGTGGCTATTTTGTGATCTGCGATGCCTCCATTTTTTTGGCCGCTGCCAACATTTCCATTTCTGACACCTTGAGGCCTGAGACGCCACTGGAGGAAAGGCCCGATGTGAAGATCTGCCGGTGGATGACGGAGCATGTGGGGGTCACGGCCATCCCCGTGAGCCCCTTCTACCTCCCCGAGTCCAGGCACCACGCGAACCGACTCATCCGCTTCGCTTTCTGTAAAGATGAGGCCACCATGTCACTGGCAGCGGAACGCCTGAGACAGTGGCATCGCAGGCAAAGAAATGAATAGATTGAAAACGATTGAAATATGATTGAATAGATGTGAAGATTGTTGAAGTGCAACTCACGAAGTATGATTTCACATGGCTTTCGTAACGATTCCAAGTGATCCATTTAAGTATGAAGTGGTTGCGGCAGAGGTTTGTTGCCCAACTTTGTGACTCACTCTGTGCCAATGATGCACTTGCGGTGAAAATCGCAGCATTCATGCTACACCACCCGGTGGGACCATTTACTGGACCTCCATTTGATGTTTCGGCTTTTTACCCAACAGTAAAATATGAAACGCCCACAAGAATTATATATTAAGAATCCAATGCTGAGGTTCCGCCCTACGGCTTCGCTCTGCTGTATGCCCGATGGGAGGCCACGATGCCAAACGTGCTGAGAAAACATCATGGAAAAGCCAAATCCCGGGGTCTGCTTTTTTGAATTTCATGTTCATATATTCATAGTCATAGTTCATTCCCATTTCGAAATGGAAATGAATATGTGGTGCACCCCGGTTCTGGACAAAGCCATGGGCGATGGGAGTTTGGATTTGCAAACGGTACTGTGGATCACCTCGTTTGACAGGTCACAGGGGCTGCTCGACGCATTCAGAGTTGTTCGGCCAGGTGCTTCCAGGGTTGGACCTGTTTGATCCGTTACCTATTTTCCCTCGGCGAACAAGCAGGGGGCATTGCACATGGTTTGTGAAGTGCCATTGAAGCTACAATCTACTGCCAGTTGTTCCCCTTCAATTTCGCAATTTCAGGCAGTCCGAGCATCCAGTATGGCACAGTATGACTGCAATCTTGGAGTGAAAGAGTCGCATGTCAGGGAGATTTGCAGACTTCTCTATCACACAGCTTGGTCTTTGATGCGTGTCTGGCCTGTTCTTGTACTGAATGCAACGCAGGCAAGTCATGGCTTTGGATGATCAAATGTGAAGAAAAAGACATGAAGTGACATGAAGTGACATGAAGATATACATGAAGTGAAGTGATATCAAGTGCCAGGTGGTGCGTTCCTGCCATCACCTACACGATCATCCGTGTCTTCGAGCACGAACAGGAGCAGTCTGAGGCTTAGAGGCCAGGATCTCATCAGGACTGGTGTTTCCAAGCACATCATATCATATTACACGCTCCAGTAAACGAACATAGCTATGGAAAACCCCATTTTGAACAGGTAAATGATCTAGAAAAGGGATGAAAAGGGTTATTTTCCATCGCTGGCTTAGATTGCCAGAGGGTAATTATTTGGTTCCCACCACGAAGTGTCAAAATTTGACAGTTCGCCCGCAGCTGATCAGGACAGAAGTACAGAGAAATCTTTTCCCAATTTTAGTTATCCACTACGTGGCCTGGAACTCAGGAGATTCTGGGACATGTCAGCAAATGTCAGCATCAGAAAATGCGCCGAATCACTGGAAGGCATTGGTTACGGGTAGACCGGAACCTGCCAGGTTACAGCGATTGGCATCGGCATTGGCCTTTTCTACCCCATCTGGGATTCAGATGCCATCTGGCCTTTGACCCGAGTGCCCTGGCAGATCCTGGCAGCTTCGGGGATGGCCAACATGTTGTTGCTACCGATGCAACCGATGCGACCGCCAGGTGTCAGTGCTGACGCAGTTCTCCAGATTTGTGTTTTGGGTGTGGCGGCTTGGAGGGGCTGGGAATGGTGTCGGAAGGGCCTGAAACATCCCGAAACATGCTGAAACCATGTCTTGGCGACTGCAGGGAATGGTGCTCTCTGTGAAGTGTGTGCTGGCATATTTCGGTGCGCCCGACGCCGTGAGCCATGTGACCGTCATGTGGTGCCATGATGTTTTGACTTTGTGGCCAGGCCTGATCTCCAAAATGCTGCGTTCCGTGAGCAAGCTGCAGCTGAGTTGGTGTCCCAGATGCCTTTCACAACTTCTTGAGGCAGAATATGGCAGAACCCTGTGTTTTTCTTAGCAAGCAAATCTACCATAAATCATAGTGCATTGTACCTACAGGCATGCAGTTTGTCAAGTGTTCATGACATCAATGATATTGCCATTGCTTGTGTATGACTTGTGGCTACAGCTCCGTGCCACCATGTGCCGCCCATGATTCATCAAGCTTTCCGCAGTAGTGTTTTTTCCAACCTGCTGGAGAAAAGTGCATCCTCAGATATCCTCAGGTCAATATTCCTCTTCTCATGTTTTTGCCCAAGCGGTCTGCTGCTCATGCCGAGACTTTCAGAGTGCCGCAGGCATTTGCACCGATTGCTTTGGTAAAGAACACGGTAGATGTATTGATATATTCAGATACGGTAGTAAGACTCATCAACACGCTCCGAAAGTAAATGTCTCCATTCCAATCATCCAAGTAATCCCAATATATTCCCGTTATCATTATATATAATTCATATGAATCCCTATAATTTACCTATGTTTACCTATTATATAATCACCTAGGGTCATGGTTGGCGCTCCCAGGGCTGGCGTGGCCTCCTTCTGAACGCGCCTCTGAGTCGCGACTTCGTGGAGGAGTGTGGCATTTGGGGTGCGCGCCATGGTTACACCGTGGAATCGTTCATGGGAATCATGGAGGGCCAGTTCGCCGGTCTATGGCCAGATTTTTTGTCATTTCAATGACTTGGGATGATTTGAGGGGTTAGTTCTTGGATTTTTTTTTTGGGGGGGACACTTTGGGAACAAAGGCAAAAGGGCTATATACTGTATTTTTCTGCAATTGATGATAAGGAATTGCCAGGATTTCTAGTCACCAATTTCATCCTGCAATCGGCTCTTGACTGATGATTTGGCGATAGAAATATTTGCGCACCTATATCTACTTCCGCCAACATTAAGATTGGCGAGCAACTAATCCCTTCCTCCTAATACTAAACCTCCCCCCCCCTAATACAAAACACGGCAGGTAGTTTTTAGTATTAGGGGGGTATTTATTATTAGGGAACCAAATCGAAGTCATGTTAATTAATTAATTAAATTTCCTTATATAACGCAATTAAAATATTGCCAAAAATGGCAGTTCGAAGCTTACCCCTAATACTAAATTAAAACCCTTAATACTAAAAACTATTTTTTCCGATCTCAAAATCAATTAAATTTCCTTATATAACGCAATTAAAATATTGCCAAAAATGGCAGTTCGAAGCTTACCCCTAATACGAAATTAAAACCCTTAATACTAAAAACTATTTTTTCCGATCTCAAGATCAATTAAATTTCTTTATATAACGCAATTAAAATATTGCCAAAAATGGCAGTTCGAAGCTTACCCCTAATACTAAATTAAAACCCTTAATACTAAAAACTATTTTTTCCGATCTCAAAATCAATTAAATTTCCTTATATAACGCAATTAAAATATTGCCAAAAATGGCAGTTCGAAGCTTACCCCTAATACTAAATTAAAACCCTTAATACTAAAAACTATTTTTTCCGATCTCAAAATCAATTAAATTTCCTTATATAACGCAATTAAAATATTGCCAAAAATGGCAGTTCGAAGCTTACCCCTAATACTAAATTAGAACCCTTAATACTAAAAACTAGCCCCCCTAATACTAAACACCCCGGGATGAATTAGTTTTTAGTATTAGGGGGGAGAACCCACAAATGGTAGGTTGATTTTTGAATTGTTTTTTAAAGGGGATCAATTAAAAGTCAAATTGGCCAAACTGAAATTTTCGGAAATTGGAGATGGATGCCTGTTTTTAGTATTAGGGGGACGTTTAGTATTAGGAGGAAGGGATTATTTGGACATATTTGGACTGGTGTAGTGAAAGAATGTTGAAGAGTGAGCAAGCTGTCTTTATGTTCACCAAATTGCAGTGCCAGGTGCTGCCTTTTTCCTCTTTTTTGCAGACACGCACCTTGCTAAGCTTTTCAAAACACCATGGGCAGTTGCGCATGCAACGACAACCATTTGGCGCCAAGCTCAACCCCAAGCAGCTCAGGCTTCTATGGCACATCCTTGGCTGTACCATCTTGGGCGTGTGCTATGTCTTCGTTCAACGTCGGGGCCGAATCCGGGCCTTTGTTTGTGAGGTGCAGGGCAGCTATGAGATTTCCGTGAAGGATAGGAAGAACATCTCATGTCTATCATGTTTGGGCTGGATCTGGATTCTGGATGCACATCTGCCAGATGCATGACTCGATCGTACTCGATGCTGCTGCATGAGCATTGCTGGATGCATTTGGCTCGCAGTGTTTCTTTTGTCTCACAAAGCATGACCTCCATCCTGAACGAACCATGACATACCATGACACTCAACGTGGCGAAGACATCAATGATATATCATATCAATGATATATCAATGATATATCAATGATATATCAATTATATATCAATGATATCAAGGCATTTTCGTAGCAGAGCATCAGTACCGCAGCTATTCCTTGACGCCTCTGTGATTTCCAAATTCGTGCCCACGGCTGTGCATTTTCTGCAAGAATACTAGTGCCAGAGCAGGTCCTGGCAAGGTGTCACCTGGCGTCCGCGGCAGACATTTGAAATGGACCTTAAACAGTTAGGGATCAAAGCCATTCAAAGCCCATATGATTCAGCAATTTTTCGGGACACTGACAAGCAATTTTCCAACATTCAGCCATTTCGATGTGAGAACCCCATCTGCAGTTCACCAAACTGCTTTGGTCCAACTTGGGGCCGTCCACCGGATCGCAGGTGGAAACTTGGCGATGGCTTGCAACGACAGCAGTGACGATGAGTGCTGGGCCTCGAAGGTTGGAGCTGGAGAGGAGCGGAAGCGATCCAGCTACGAGGCGCGTACGCTGCCGAGTTCGCCAAAAAAGATCAACTGATCGCCACCAAAACATGGCATACACCGAGTCCGAGTGGGCAGGGCCTGACATGGTTTGCCTGTTGAACATGATTTTCCAAACTCGTTTATTTTTTGGAAGGGGTGAAAGCAGTTGAAGGTGCCGACAACCATGGCAAGTGCCCTAAGTGGCTCACACACTCATACTGATGATTGTTCATAGATGTGATGACGAGTAGTGATGGAGTTACTGTCAGTCAATGTTTCCTACAGATCGACGGGCCGCATTTTTGGAGTAATAAGTGACCAGTATAGACTGACTCAACAGCCTCAACAGCACCCTTGCAGACACCGCAGGAGTTGGAGATGCTGACAGGCAATGGTCATGCCACCGCTGAGGCCAGCAAAATGGGGCAGCAGATGGCGAAAAAAATCTGGGAGAATCGGCATTACCTGGTGATTGGGTGGATACTCCTGGCACTTATCATGGCTCCGTTTGCATATGAATTGGCAGCCTGGCTTGGAGAGTTGCACATGTTGCACGTCTTTTGTTGAAACATAAGAGCAACAAACGCCGATACTTTGGAAAACTGGACGACTGGCCCAGAGTTTCAACTGGTTTCAAGATGTTCTCAGCGAGACTTCTTCACACCTCCCACATCCATCATTTGCCCTTACCGATCTTACCGTAAGGTGATCAATGCCCTGCCATTGCCCAAGAATCCACCGCCGGGCACGCCCAGCGCGCTGGCGGAGGATCTCTTTGAGGTGGGAAGATGTCGTGGATTTGATGGAGAAATCATGGACGCCATGATGAAAAGATGGAAAAACGAAACATCTTGGTTTCAAGCCTTGGTTAACGGCTAAAGATCCTTGGGATGATGATGATGATGATGATGATGATGATATGGTGGTGGTGGTGATGATGGTGGTGGTGGTGATGGTGATGGTGGTGGTGATTGTGATATGGGTTGTGATATGGGTGATGATATGGGTGATGGTGTGGGACATATGGATGGATAGTTTTTTTTTTTTTGCGTACAACCTTCTCACCACTGACCTGCTCGTTGATGTGGAACTGTGGAACTGTTAGGTGAAATTTCCCTACCTGGTGGGGATGAAGATGGAGATGGTCCTGATCAAGTGCCTGGGCCATCCTGGGCCAGTCCTTGTCATGTCAGGCCATAGGTCCACAGGTCGCGCATACCGGGCCCGTCCCTGCGACCTTTTTTGGATTCGAGGTGTCGCGCAGCCTGCGACACAGCCGTGACATCAGTGAGCCAATCCCATGTTGAGACCTTGAAGGACCTTGAGACATCTTGAAGCCAGTGGCAAGTGGGTGGGACTAAAAGCGGTGGTGGAATCACGTGATCTAGATTGATTTCGACTATTTCAGACTTAGAATTCATGATCCGTTTTAGGCGATGTATGGAGTCTTAGCTGGTAGGTCCAAGGTCTGCCATGTGAAGAGGTGTAGGGTAACGGCGTATGGTAGCGTGGTGTAGCAATTGAGAACCCTGTGCGTCCCACCGCGTCCCACCGGGTCCCACCCAGTTCATCTCCATGCAAGGACATGGTCCTGCGCTTTGGTTTCAAATATCCTGGGACCATCATTGACATTCGGTCCTATTACACCTTTGGTAGAAAGATCGATCACAATCCGATGCTGTCCTTTGACAAGCAGAGCATCCTCTTTGTCTGGAGCTCCTGAGCTTGATATATTTCAATATATTTCATATCTCAGGATGGGGTCAGTTTCTGTAATGACAATTGATCATTGGGGAGATCAGCCATAGGTCCCACTGATGGCCATGATAGATCACGATAGCCCCACAGCGCTCTATGAACGCAACTGAGGTTGGCGTGTCAACGGCACGATGAAGCTTCAAGCGCAGGATTTTGCGAAGAAGGTGTCCAAATTCTGCGACAATTGGTGCCTTGCGCTTCTGGTAAAGTGGATTTTCATGGATTTTGGTTGAATTAAATCACCCATCGAGCTTCAAATCAAAAATAACCAAACAGATTGACTTTGGCATCGGGCCATGGCCACCGAGGAATGTCCAGGTGGATGATGGGCCTGATAGCTTTGAGCTCCAAGCGACTGGCCCCACCTTTCTGAATGTGGCCATGAAGGATACTGTTCTACACGAGGAGCCATGGCATGGGGGGGGTATCAAGTTGATACATGTATCGAACATGGTGAACAATCCATAAGTCATTTGCTGGGACATATGGGATTGCAAATTAATCCGTTAAACCGTTAAACCCATAAATTCAAAATAATTTAAATGGTTCCGGAGAGAGAGAGAGAGAGATGTCCTATGAATCGCATCAGAATCTGCAGAATCTGCAGAATCTGCAGGTGCCAATCCATGAAATTGAGACGCTCTGGCTGCCCTTCGGCATTTTGGCGTATCGCCTGCGGAGCGCTCGGCTCCTACTGCTGGCTTTGTGCTCGATGCCTATTGCCATTCTCGTCTCATTTGGCTTTATGACCCTTGGCGATGAGGATAGTTAAGCGATGTTTGATGCCTTCAAATATGGAGATTATGAAGGGGAAACGCGATATGACAACATGTGAAGATGATGTGGTTGGTTAGTAGCCAATGGATACTACTGGGTCAAAATTGATTGGGGAGTGCATTTTGTGCAGGATATTCTGGTCCAATTCTCTCAGCTCGGCGAGGTATTTTGTATCCACCCAGCTGCCAGTGATTCTTTATGCCTTGGTGATGATGCTCATGCTCTGCACGGCACTTTCTTTTGACTACTCGCTGTTCACCATGACAAGATATGGCGAAGAGCGGCGTAAAGGTGCGAGTCTCGAAGATTCCATTGCAGCTTGGCAACGGCAGGCCTAGCATGGTCCAGCATGGTTTAACCCATTCAAAGTGGGGAGTTTGGCAAACATTGTCCAGCCGGTTGATGGTTCTAATATATCCTTTATCCTTTGATTTATCTCTATTTATCTTTATTTCATTTACATTTCCTTCTTTATTTGGGATTTGATTTCGATCTTGATGGGGTTCCAAGATGTTCGAGGCAACTGTGATCACACAAAGCGGTCACGTCGTCCTGGTGTCGGGCCTGGTGCTCACCATTGCCTATGGCTCAATGCTATGTCTTCCAGGCTGGAACACACCTCGCGGATCCTCGCGGCTGTCCCAGGATCAGGATCGGATCTCCAAAAAGTTTCAGAATGTCGGGATGTCTAGGGAGAAGTTCAGGGAGAAAGCCTGGGAAAACGCGGGAACCATCTGAAGACAGACAACAGCTTTTGAAACCGATGTTGACCATAAACTGACCATATCTGATCACAAACCAAATGGTTCAAACCGGATGGTTTCAACCCGAAGGTTCGGTCCCCAGTGGCCAGGTGCCTTCAAGAGCTTCTGTGTGGCCGCCTGTAGCATGATCCTGCCCCTGGGCCGTTGAAATCTTGAAATGCACAAAAAACCAGCTGAGCATTGACGAGTTGTATCATTTCGTGTATCATTTCGTGTATCATTTCACGATATTTTGATATATTTTGTGCTGTATCAGTGTATCCCAAGGTGTTGCATTGGCGTCCAGCTGACCTTTGTCCCGTGCCTCCTGGGGACCTTCCCGTGGATCGGTGATGGTTTCGATGTCCAGAACGACGAGGAAGCGCCGGATGAGGCAGTCCCCAATGCCACCCGGCTGCATAAATTCGTTGCGCGGGAGACAGCCAAGAATTGCAGCTTCCTATAATGATCTTGCCTAAACTGATCTTTATCATCTTTATAGTGCTTGATTTATATACACCTATTTTTTCAAGTTTTAAGGATTGGCATGTCAACCCATAGAACACTTCCAACGGACAAAAACTGAAGCAGGAAGAGGAGGGGGAGGAGGATGACATCGGCAATGAAGAGCTCGAAGAGGACACACCAGCGACTAGACAGATGAAACTCGGCTGCAAAGCTGGCAGTAGCTAGGGCCCTGTTCCCAAAGTTGAGCCCTGTTCCTGTTAAGTTTGTTAGGCAAATCATTTGACCTTCGGACACTTGCCGTGGAATGACTTGAGCATCGATGGGAGGTTGGGGGTGGCTATGGGTGGCTCATCCCCCAGCTGAAGGTTGCGGCATGTGCGGGTGTTCCGGAAGGGCATCTATTACAGAGTCGGGGGCAAACTCACACAGTGCCCTTTGCCGCTTGGTCCCGCTTGGTCCCGCTTGGTGCAGTGGAGGCAACCCACATGAAGCATGTTCTTCCATGATAAACTGCTGGAGGCCCACCTCCCAGGGTAGAAGGCATCCGCTGATGGGCTGAGGAACATCTTAGTGCCAATCCTCATCTACGTGGTGACATCTCCGCTCACCTACCGAGCTTCTCAGTGCCCACGTTTGCAAAGCAACAGTCCGGACTGTCCCGCTGTGTCCAAGAACAGCCAGACATGGGCCCTGCCAGGTACAAAACGGGCCATGCCTATGAGCTTCAAATCCCTCGAGGAAGAAAAGAGTGGGAGACGTCGTTGCAAATTCAATCCAACTTCCCAACAAATGTTGGCTGCATCTTGGCCATCCCTGACGCTAATTACTCATCTTGTCGCATGCCTCGCCATGACAGTTATGATTCTACGATTACTAAATTTGTTGATGCTCTCCAAAGCTTCCAGTAGACTTCACCCAGTTGGTTCCAAAGTGTTGGCGCCAACTAGCACAAAAACCTATTTTGACCTGCATGCTTCAGATGCCTTGCACGGTCTCAATTGCAGTTGCTTGATTTTGCCAAAAAAAACTTGTTTTCCAATGTTTTTCTACTTTCCTCGCAGTTTTCTCCTTAATTCTCCTTGTTTTGGATTCCTCAGGTATGATGCCCGCCCTAATCATTGCCACCAGTGAGTTGTCGTCTGAAGAAGTCTTCAGCACATCTCTGCCACCGCTGCCCTTGCAGATCCCCGGCACCACTGTGGCACCCGACGTCGTGCGGCGACTCAAGGAGACGGCCTCGACGGCCTCGACGGCCTCGATTCACTCAGTGCAGAAACTTCCGGTGACACCAAAAGCCACCTGCAGAGGTTGATAAAGTTTGAAGGGCTTCAGTTTGATCCACTAAGTCACTAAGATCATTAAAAAAACGTATTAAGCATGTTAAACTGTGCACTGAAGAAATGGATGCATATATATATATATATATTATATTATATTAATTTATATATATATATATATCTCTCTCTCTCTCTTCCAGATGGCGATGTTGATTTTTTTTCATCCATTCTTATCCTTTCTAAATGGCCCAGTTTGCCCATGTTCGCACTTCGCTTGCCAAGTCTAATGCCGACGAAGTCCAACTGGCTGCTGACCCGGAAGACATCCAACCCGTCCCCGACGTTCCAGAAGAGATCCAGCCGCACGTGCACATCGAACCGAAACCGCGCCACGGAAACGCCTCCGGGACCTCAACGGAGAACGGCGACAACGACAACGAGGCGGAGAGAGATGTTTAGTACTCCATGGATCTCCATGGTACCCCACTGATATGCGACAGTTCATGGGGTAATGCTAGTGTCATTCTCCGGGATTTACATGTGCATTGCTGCATGTGTGTGCATATGCGCATGCATGATCATGCATGTACGCCTGCACCTACATGAGCGGGCTTAGCTTTCTGAAAGGAGCCCCTGGACGTCCGTGGTCAAGCTTTCTTTGATGTGAACTGCGACATGGTGAACAGACTCATCCATACCACAAGGACCGTGCAGAGCCTTTGTGCGTGTGCATAGAGAAAACATTGATCTTCCTATCAGGATTGTGGGCTTCTACCAGTCAATGATTTTCCCAAGTATATACCAAGCCCGGTGCGCCACTTTGGCTTTGGGTATATTTGTGTGAGTAATTATAACAGCACTACTGTATGTCACTATGTAATCAATACTTTTGATATCTTTTGATTAATATTCATTCCGTGTATTTAGACCATGAACCGTTCAGAGATGCCGGAGATCTTCTACCTTGTCATCCAGGAACGAGACCTATGCGTTGACGTCAGTGAACTTTCAGAGCCCTACCTTCTATGGCGAGCACGCCAATGGTAGTGTGAAGTGTTTGAACTACAAATTGACTCACACCCTCCGCGCCAACTTCTTCGCCAAGAAGTTCATGTTTACTTCCAGGCTCCGATAGCATCGATAGCCATGTGCTGCTATGGAGTTTCATACTTTTAAATAATTATTATTTTTGTCCAACCCGTTGAATAATTGTCGAGAGCTAAAACGATACACACACACACATATATATATGTATAAAACAATAGTACATAATTGAATATAATGATTATAGATGAGTTCTCCAGCTCTTGGTAATGAGGTTTCACATCATTGATCGTAGCAGCCTGACCATCACGAACTGTTGGTGTTTTCACCCTGGCACAGCATGTCATGTTGTCGTGACATGTCGTGCTGAGGCTCATGCAGAAGTTATGGAACCAGCTGGTGAATGCAAAGCATGACGCCATGCTCACCCTACTAACGCCCAAGATGGACCCCTTTAGTGCAGAAGCCTTCAAGATGACTGAGGAGATCTTGCAGCATCTTGCAGCAGCATGGTTGGAGTGTCAGTTTCTTAATGAATTTTCGCTGTTGACATAAATCTGGCTTATTTTATTCCCTTTCTCACTTGATCGTTGTACGAATTAGGGCTGTTACATGCCAATATATGCTATGAGCCTGAGCAAAACGAAGACTTGGACGGATGCTTGCACCCGTGGGTGTAGCGGTGTTGCGCAAACAAAAACATCAGGAGCTGCGAGCGCTGCTGAAAAATGCCAGCTTAGCTTCAAGGCAAGGGATGGCACAGCCATTTTGAATCACTGAAGTTCTATGGCTTACTCCATATTTTGAATCCATTTCGACAGGAGATTGTAGATATTTCACAGCGTCACGTCACAATAGTGTCAGGGAATCTGGCTTCGGCGACATCACCTACATGATGTTTTCGCCCAGCGCCATCATGATGGCGACTGCAGCTGCAGATGTAGATTGAATGGCTGGTGATTGACCCCTTTCGCCAGTATAAACACGCCCCCAGAAACCCAGGCAAGGTAACAGGATACCTGCAAGGTTTTGGCCACTGACGCTGAGGATCTCATCAAATACACCAACGACAGGCTCTGGTGGGCCTTTTTGGGCTGTTCTATCCTTTGCTTCTGGGCGCAGGGACAAAAAAGTATTTGCATGCCTGAAAATGGGGAATATCCCCCCAGTCGTGGCATGTCGTGGCCATTTGAATAGGGAACATCACCTTAAACCATTGCATTTTGGGGCATCCCATCTTCAGACAAACCCTTTTCAATGTCTTCCCCCACTGCATCTCTGCAATTTCTTCACGGAAATTATGATTGTGCGGGAAGCGGCGGCACAGTTTCAGCGCACGGATGCATCTCAGGTTTCGTTCTCATTGCAGTGGCCTTCAAAGCTTGGCTCTAGAGCTGCAAAACTGCTGATGTTCAAGAGGGAGTCCGATCATCGATGTTTGAATCTGAAAAACGTCCAATCCATGGCTTCTTCATGCTAGATCCCTAGAACGTTCATGATTCTGTACTTTCTAATTCTTTAAACCTTTATTTACACATTTGTTTGGAATCGCCAGAATTGTGTCAGTGCTAGGCTCATTCCACTGAAGCTGCTGTTCACGGTGATCTTGCCAATCAGCTGGGCCTATGGGGCTGCCTTGTTCGTCTATGAAGATGGCTGTTTGGAGTGGACCGGCATCACCGGTTTATCTCCCACCTACATCACCAATAGCGGCCCCGCAGGGCTTGATTGGACCATCCCTTTGTTTACCTTGACCATCATGTTGGGCCTGGCTTTGGATCCTTGGTGGATGAAATCCCGGGGGGATTTCAGCATATTTCACCATGAAACCTGGGCAATCCAATATCATCAAACATATTGGATACATATGGGTCATATGGGGATCATAGAATAATTTTGATAAATGATGGTTGGTTCGTGATTAGTTGGTACATTGTGCTATCCAATATTTATCAATATTTGTTGGGCATTGTCATAATCCGTGAGCTGAGAATCCACTATGGAAACCAACCATTACTTTGAAGGGCTTTTTGAACAATTATGGTTCTTAGCACTGCTGGATTTGTCCAATCCAACCCATGTTTTCCTTAAACCAACAGTAACGCATGATTTTAGACTTTACTATGGAGCCTGAATGAATTTGAGGACTACGATGTCTTCCTCTTTGAGCGGGTTTGGGAATTCCGAGAGGAGGCGCCCGAGCAAATTGGGCGTTTCGCGTCCAATGTAGATAGTGCATAGAAATGGTCTGGTGGTTGGATGTGGTTGGTGGTTTCAATCATTTTCGCAATTCTTGGATAATGAACCTCAAGTGACTGTTTGATCTGGTTGTGTACAGATTCTTGAATACATTTTTGATGCCGCCAAACAAGATTGAGACGACCCAGCTAAGATACTGTATCCTTCGGCAAGCAACCATGGCAATGGGAAATCAATGGAGGTTTCAACCGGAAATCATCGAACTAGATGGTGTGACTTTTTTTCCGCTTGGAATATTTCCAGCCATGTTTTTGAATAAATTGTAGGGTCATATTTAATAGCATATACAGTATATATATATATACATACAGTATAACCATGTATAACCCAATCCCCCAATATTTAACACCCCAGAAATGGTCCCAGTCATACGTTCTTCCATCCCCTACATCCACCAGGGTTTCTGTGGGGCGGGGCGTTTTTCGCGGTGTCGTGTTTGGTGTCAGTTTTTCCAAATGGGGATGGATCAGTTGTTACCGTTGTTACTTACATCCTATTACCATGGTACTCGCTATAGTGGGTAAACATCCAATGTAAATCATAGATCTTGCTTATTATATCATTACCATATAGGTACCATGAACCATTTTTTCGTAAGTACCATATTAACATCATCTGGATGTTTTAAATTATATGGGTAATGTCACAAAAATCAAGTTGCCAGTGAGTAAACATCCATATCATCCATTCACCGTTGCTACGGTTTCGACGGTCCCATCCGCGGGCAGGGCTTCGGCGACAACGAGGCGGTCCAATTGGCGTTGTCCGCCACGGGCCCGACGATCACCGCTGCGGGGCTGATCTTTGCCTTCACCTTTGCCACACGGCCAGGGGGAATCCCCATCACTACCCGGGGATACCTGGGGTACCATTTAAAAAGATCAGGGCGTGGTAAATATATGTGTGGTTACTGGTTTATGGAGATTTTTGAAGACTGAAACCAAATTTTGGTGATTGTATCATGTTGAACTAGAACATGTACCAACACCTGTTCCATACCCGAAATCATATCAAGCAACAAGGGTTATTCGGGCTATGATTTTGTTTGGGGATGTATGCTAATCAGCAATCACACTTCGTATTTCTGCAGGGTAATGCAGGGTATCATGGGGTATCTAAAATTGGCCGTGGATGATTTTCCGGTAGATGTCACGAAAGGATACGAAAGGGGCATACGTGGATTGTTTTGACCAAATCTGAATGGCCAAAAACGGCCATGCTGGAACTGAGATCAGCATGATGCTGGGAAGTATGGCCATTACAAACCAAATGGGCTTCGTGTTCATCTTCAGCATCGTGGTGGATACCTTTGTGGTGCGAACCGTGCTGGTGCCTGCAATGCTCTCACTGAATCCGCGCTTGAATTATTGGCCCTCCGATATGCCAGAGGCCAAGATCACTTGGTTGAAATGAGAAAAAAAGCTGCGCTCCTGGCTCCTGCTGCTTTCGGTTGATGGCTAAAGCATGCTAAAGCCTGCTAAAGCCTGCTAAAGCCATATGCCGTCAGGCCTGTGCTGATGGTGCTTATGGCTTTCAGGGTGTGTATTCTGATGAAACCGCAATTTTCGCAAAGCTGTATTGCAATGACCACAGCTTTGCGCCATCTGATGCCATCTGGTTCTGTTTCTATTTCTCCACTTGGAGGATTCCGTCTCGAAGATTCAGCAGCGCTTTCCAGCCAAGGCCGAACCGTGCTGGTGCCAACCAAGTCACG